AGACGCGTGGCTCGTCCTTTCAATATTGGCCTCTGTTCTTGCCTTCTTGCAACTTTTGCACGTCATAAACGATACTGTCATAGACATTCGTCAAATCAGGTCTAATAGCATGGAAGTTAAAGGGCTATTCGGCAAATATAGGCTGAAAAAAACCTACGAGATATTCACACTGTTCTTGTCGAAAATACCGCAAGATATTTTACCGTTCATATTTCATTGCTTCTGCAACCCCGAGCAACCAGATGGAGTGGACATAATTGAATTGCTGACTAAGTTAGCAAAATCATCAGCAGTCACCGATTTTTTCTCCGTATTTGTTCGAAGTCTTGAGACAGATGCTGGGATTTGGTTAAATTGCAACCCCGGTTGTACATATAGAAAACCATACTATAAAGTAGAGAATTGCGGTTTCTATCGCATGGTAACAATAAGAAAGACGGATGAAATTATATTTTGTCAGTGTTGCTACATTTGCTGCCTTTATGAATTGGCACCAGACCACGGATGCTACGCTTCCATGTGCTTCGACAAATGTAAAGACCGCTGCACATGTGAGAGACATTTCTGCATAAACACTACGCCTACCGACTGGGACCAGTGGGAAACATCTGTTTCTTGGACAAATCGTTTTTTGTACTTAGGATCCTTGGCCATTGTTGTTTTGGGGGTCCTTGATGATTTGTATTCTTTTATTTGTACAGTGTAAGTTAGATTGACAGTCAACAACGATCTATCAAATATCATGCCTGAAAAGCTTCAATTCCCTAAGAGATATAAAACCCGAGCGACAGTTTGACAAGCTAAATATGAGCAATATTATGCAATATAAGTCTCATTTTCCAATGTGCGAAAATACTGCGTTTATTGCGACATTATTGCGCAACTTAACCACTTTCAGGAAACACAGTGTTATCTTGTTTGCACGTTTGTTCGGAGCGGACAGTACTATCTCCACAGTTAAGGATAAAAGAAAAATGCTGTACAGAGTAGTCATGTCCTGAAGTTGAGCTACGAGAGAGAAGTGAAACAATTTAGAGGCGGACGCCCAGGCTTCTATGAAACGCCGAAGCTTCAGAGTCCAGGTTTTTTTCACTTTGTTTACTATACATGTATTCCGATGACATCATAGTCCTTTTTGGCCCACCAGCTGTTTAAACTTACACATATTTAACCGATTAAACGAATACTTTTCCACGTTATTTCGGTGACTACAAACAAATACGAAGCAGAAAACCATGTTGACAGCTGTAGTAACGTTGCGCAACTTTCTTTTGAGGCAGTGGAATACACTAGTGGGCTAGATTTGGTCTTAACGTGCAATTTAAGATCACGAGTGATCTTACACGATCTTAATCATTACAGCAGTAGTTTTAAAAATGGACTGAATCTGCTTTTAAGATCAAAAATTATCTAAAATCTACTTAAGTGGTCAAGCAGTTTCCTTCCCTCACAATGGGGGATACCTCCCCTCACAATAGAGGACACCTCTGCTCACAATAGGAGAATGTGTAAGGGTAGACAACTTAATTGGCTGTTAGATCAGAAATGGTCTTACTCATGTTTTAAGATCATGTAAGACTATTTGTGATATTTTAATTGCACTTTAAGACCAAATCAGGCCCACTACTGATACGATACGATATATAAAAATTGATATATAAAATCCAACCTTAATCTCCACGACATAACCAGCAATGTTTACGACTAATATAACATTTGAACGTGAACTTGTGACAAAATCTTTCTTGTACAATAACTAGGGGAGACCGGGTCTAGTTGGACTTCGGGGTAAGTTGCCCCCCCCCTCCCCCCCCCCTCCCCACATCAATTTATGAAAAAGTAACTAAGAGGTAAAAAAAATTGGCCACATACTCTTGTAAAGTGACCGTAGCCTACAATGCTAAGGAAGTGTCGGACGTTAAAAAGTTTTACTTAAGCGGTGAGTCGAAATAACCGATTTTTGCATCTAAAAGTAATTTTGTTTAAGAGATTAAAAAATCTATTTTCATAGGCTTTTGATCAAATATAATATACATGTATGTATAGGGCATCAAACTGAAGCTCATTGTTTCAAGTTTCACAGAGATGTATCATCGTTGCTCATTTTAGCACCATAAATGGCTGCCATCCTTTAAATTAAAAAATGTGCACCCGGGGCTAGTCGGCCCTCTTGACTCGGGGCAAGTTGGACCCTCATATTACCCACAAACCTTTGCGCGCACCAGAGTTAGAGACCATTGTTGAAACAAACTCAATGGTTTAAAAACGAATTTGTTACTTTCTTTTAAAACGAAAATGTATTATTCGTTTTCATTCATTAAGAACCTGCTTTATACCATTATTAATTTATTCTTAATTTAAAAAAAAAACAAATTTTATTGATAGATATTTTGGTTCTTGCAGCTCATACAACGTGACGTACGGAAACCTCAATAAATCTGCCTCATTTGAACTATTTATTCATCAAAGACTCTCAAAAATCAATTTAATAAATCAAAAATGTATAAAAATGTCTTTCAAGGCGTTTACATGGGATACTTACTTCATTTTTGGCGGGCAAATTGCAAGTAATAATTTTAAAGATATTTTATGAAATTTAAATGTAGTAGTACAGGTTTTAGACTCTCACAACCCTTAGTAGGGTTGATTTTATTATTTAAAACGTGAGACGTTAATAAAATTATTATTATTATTAATTACTAATGTACTTGTAGTACTTTCAGACAAGCGCCAGACGGCAGCACTAGTTAAACAATAGAACAAAGGTTGTGGTGTCATGTGCCAGTTAAATACATTCTGTAGTCATATCCAACCTTCTTCTGTCAACATACACTACAAATAAAATTTATAGATGTACTTAATGATAAGATAATTTTTCATCAGTTTGTCATTGTTATTAACAGATGCAACATATGATTCAGGCCCGTAGCCAGCAATTTCAAAAGGGGGGTTCTTTTTCTGAAAAAATGGACCTTTTACCATCAAACCTCCGTGTGCCTACAGTAGATAAAATTTTACCCAAAGGGGACATTTTCCCAGCTAAAAAGGGGGATTCTTTCTAACCTCCCGGACCCCATGGCTACGGGCCTGTGACATACTGGATAGCTGTATGCCATAGTTGGGTGTCAGTCATTTGTAAAATATGAAGTTAAAATAAGATATCCAATTAACGTTTTAGCATTTTGATACTATAATGGCATGTTAAATGATACAAACATTAGCTTTTACTTTAGCTTTGGATATTTACCTGTATTTTTTAATTTCTTAAAAATTATTTCCAAATAAATTGGTCAAAACGTCAGTCAGTGTTGAAACAGATGCTTTTGAGGGTGATAGCGCATTCAGACAAAAGGCTTCATACTACATGTACCTCGCACTACCAATGTAGAATTAGAATGTAGAGGTCCTAAATATAGTTATTTCTTGCTAAGACCTAACTTAGATCACCTGCTTGCTTAAAACACCTCATTATCTCCCAGGATTGTCGTCATTATTTGGTGGACATACCACCATGGTCTCAAACACAGTCTTTTTAACAAAAGTTGCGCAACATTTGTTAATTTTCCTGCGTGTCCAGTTTCCTATCAACCAACCTTTTTTAAACTCATAGATTAAAAGGGCAGATGAAGAAGAGGATCAAGTTCTCCCAGCCTGTAACTATGGCAAAGATTGAATAACAAATTAATTGTAATTGATTACCATATTTTCTAGATGACTACATGAAATTAGTTAAACATATATGTACAACACATTTTATCAATTTCTGATTGGCATACCAGCTGACATTTTACGCTTTTGTTTTAATATTGGAATTTTCAAAAAAGTCTGTTTCAAAATAAGATCAGATTTTTAAAGCTTAATATAGTGTTGTTCAGCATGAGATTTTCCACTAAAAGCTCAAACTTAATTTTTTTTTTTTTTTTTTGGGGGGGGGAGCGGTATTTTCTCCAGCTAACCAATCTATGATCTTCCTTTCTGACACTCACCTTAACTCTGAAATAATGTGGGAAAACAAAAAAGCCCTTAATCCACGTTTAAGCGTGGCCACTGCCACCACTTCCAGCACTGAATTCCAGGTTGCGCGCGATTAAAAAAATTCTGAAGAAAAATGATGTATTGCGCAAGTGGTCAAGAACTGATAAATAAGATCCTTTTTCACAACATTAATAAATAGTCATTATTTGTTGAAATGATAAAAAAAGTATTGTGTCTTTAGATAAGCTCACGGAGAACTTGTTCTTAAATATTTCGCTTTGTCCCTTTAACTAAGCTACAGTATGCTCACGATAAACCCTTACTGAACAATGTAATTTTTTTTTTCGTGTTGAGGATTAATTTATCAGATAAATTCCCAAATTACATACAAAAAAAAATCAGTTCAGAGTTACGAGGTGCGCCTTGTTTTCCCCTTAACCCGTTCAGTTCTAGGTACTTTTTTTACCGATTTGCCGTGATCCGGACGGAGACCATTGTGCTGTATGTTTACGAGACAGGCTGGACAGATCTGCTCTACCACAATGCCCGGTACTCGCAATGTTCACTATATGCCACACACACATCTGTTAACCTTCAAACAACTTATCATTTCAAATTACTTAAAATTATTTTTTGTGATTTCTTTCCTACTGCTCTAAAATGTCGTTTTTTGAAGTGCCTATAATTACACAAACCGAGAAATGAATAGCACATTTTGCATAATCCGCCATGATGATCACATAAGATCTCGTTGTACTGTAGTCACTAGGGACGCGATCAAGATAGACCTAAACAGCTTGTTTACTCACGACCACTGCATGATCTAAGTCTACTAAATGTATTAAAAAAAACAGTTGTTTATTTTCTTCTTGTCTTTTTGTTGATCACCTTAACTTCCGAGTGTTGATCAAGTCTCATGATTACGTAAATTATTCATACGAACGCGGGGTGGAGTCTGGGGGTCAATCTAAAGCTCGCGTGATGGAGCGGTGGAAAAATCAATTTAGAAAACGAGTGAACGTCGACAAAACACCACACAATAACGTCTTACCACAGAGTCAAATAATCAATACCGACACCAATAATCGGGAATAAGAATCTAAAACTATTTGATCAGGTAGCGTTACAAGTAAGAAGACCACCTTAATGCTTCAAAGGAACATAGCCTTCTGTGCTGAAATTTCAGTAGTTTTGTGAGCGGACACTGGATTTATAATCTCTTGACCAGTCCAATGACACTACAACGGCAGCGATATGAGTGAGTTGGACAGGTCGGACACGTACACCAAGCTAAACGACGAGAGCCCAAACACAGGTAAGTATTTCTATATACAATGTAATTTTTTAAAATGAACTTTCACTAATTCAGAGGCCTCGTAATGTAGGTGCGGGCGTGTTGCGCTGTAAATACCACGTGCAGTATCAAATGCATTCCAAATATTTCAATTACTTTGTTAGATGTTCTTTTGAGAAATGATTATTCCCAAAATTATCTGTATGTGATAAATTACAAAGACATTTTTTTTTCTTGTGTGCTTACTAATCTGCGTGGATCAAAGCTATTTTAATTCCACTCTAGCCTTGTAATGTGCTTTCCTAATTCCCCTCCAATGTAATTGTATTTGGTCCCGGGGTTGGTCTTTATCAATGCAGAAGTAATCTATATCGGAACTTTACATGTTCTCCTTGGATTTTCAGTGAGAATTGAAACACTTGTGTAAGATATTCATACCCATTCTGCCGGTGTTAATAAAGACGCACGAAACGCACGGTCATAAATTCACGTGGCCTACTCTCACCTTCCCAGAAGTGTGCAAGAGCCTTCCAAACACCCAGAGTCAGGTTTTCAGAGTTAAAATTGTGTTTAGGCAAGTTTTTTTTTACGAGCATGATAGCTAGCTTAATATTATTCTTTGAAGAAAGACGGACTTCCACCTGTCGTATTAATAGCTACTATTTATCCCTTGGCGTCGAATCTGAATATTTGCATGTACCAGTGCGTCTAACCTTCTGCTAGTGCAAAATACATATGTAGTCTCTAGTATCTATAGTGTCTCCTTAGACTGAGTCTGCTACAAATTGTCACAGAAGGAGTGCATCGTGATCTTTCTCTGTCCGTAAAAGCGGCTATCAAAGGTGACTTTTTAGGAAGTGCAGGAATGTTAGTATATACAGATTAGTTACAATAACAGCTTGTCAGTTGCGTGGAATCAGATAGAAACTGTATTTATTTATTTATTTATTTATTTATTTATTTTATTTTATTTTATTTTATTTTATTTTTTTTTTTTTGCAAGCAGATTTGCACAACTCCTCTAGCAACTCAAACACACATCAGAACGCTTAATTACCCTTAATTTATTCTTTCATTCACTTTATTGAAAGTAATATCATATTTTTATTTCCAGGTGTATATATAGTTATTTTTCATTGATCTTATTATAATTTTTGAAACCATTCTTTATATTTATATATGCATAATTCATATATCATGGCAATTCATATAAAGAAAGAGCACAGATTTCCATATTACAATTAACAAACATGCTTCCGTTCCGATTTTTCACACTTCTATGGCGCAGAGAAACACGCCCCTGTACCCCGGCACTTATTTTTGGTGGACATTACGTGCCATATAACACGCTTCCGTTTTTTTATGTTTCATAAAATAGAATGAAACTGGCCGTATCCGTTTGAATATCATGTGCGGCTTGATACACTATGATGTGATGCACGTATATTACGTTAGCTGCTTGAAGACACTGGGATTCTGATCGCAAACTGAATTCCGTGTTGCCACCAACAAGTTAGTTAAACTTAAAAGTAGGCCTACAGTAGTAACAATAAAACATAGTAATATACGTTTTACATCACAGGAACATAGAATGATACAAATACATTCATTAAAGATGGGGAGAGGGAGAAGGAGCTCGAGCTACCTGTCTTTCCTGTCCGGCATGTTTGGCTTGCTTCTCACTTCAAATTATATTACATTTCCCTTGGACATAATAGGTTGACTTAAATTTCATTAAAACAACAATTTAGGATCAAGTAGTAATAAAAGGACATCGACCACACTGTGGTCCTAAACAAAACGACTGTACCTTCACAAAAAGCAGGATCTATGATTCCGTCACTCTGAGGACTTGAGGAGCACCTCTCTGTCTGTGTCCCTGGTCCACGACAGCGTTGCCCACCACACTGCGCCCTCGTTATCATGACCCGTGAACGTCCCCTCATGTTAGCTCTGGTACAGGCGCCCCAGGCTTGCCAGTCCCCCCACACGCAATCCTCGGGACGGCAGTGGCCCGCGGCACGCCCCCTGTCTGCCGCCCTGGGTAACTGTCTGCTGCCATAGCCTGGCCTGGGGCGCCCTCTCTGAGGAAGAGGCCTGGATGACTCTATAGTATCTATAATGAGTAGTATTATAAACAGAAGAAACATCAGCGTGGTTATGGTACTACGCCATTGCTTCTTGAATTCGACCATCTTTTGCGTCAGCGGTCTCTTGAAATGTGTCAGTTAACAGTCAGTGTAAGGAAGCACTTAGCCCCAGTGTGCTTTTCCTGCCCCATGTGTTGTTTACATTGAGAAATTCTGAATAAGGAAGCAGGATCTGATGCTAGAGAAATTAACACGAGTTTGTTCACACCCGTTGCCAAACCTACTAGTGGAGATCTATGCAGGCACCAACTGTGCGACCTAATTCAAGACAAATGTACAAGCTCGTCGATGAGCTCCCGCCATTTCTAACTATTGTCTTTTTCAACAATCAGGGCCGAAGGAAATAAAAAAACATTTAGCCATGTTATGTTTTGAAATACTAAATTCACGGATCGTGGTTTAGTGAATTTGAAAAGAAGAACACATTGAAAATGCATGTTTGAAAGTAATCTGCAGTCAAATATGGCCAAGTCGAAGTAGTTTTAGACGTCTACACACGTCACTGCCTGTTGCATTTTACAGATGACAAAAAGATATATAATATTAATGAGAATATGAATAAAAAGGATGTGTAAAAACGTTTAGAGGGTGTATTACGTCAGTTAACGTGGAAGATGATATAATGCTTTGACGTGCTCACGTTGCTGGGATACTAAGTAAACCGCACTCGCTGAGGGTCACGTAGTGTGGTAGGGCAGTTTTCTATTGCTGCTGAATGCTTTCAGAGAGTCGGTAGTGGTTGGCCACGGCTTCTTAGTTTCTTTGTTGTTGTTTTTAGCCTTTCTCTAAATGGCTGAAAATAAAGTTTCATGTTGTTAAAGGAAGCCATGTAAGAGTGATGGGAATTGATAATTTTAGTAACAGTGCCAAGGCAAAGTTCTAAGTGTCTTGGGAAGGCCGGGTACGCTACTTCGATAAAGCCCAGATTGCCATGCATTTTATAAAATACCGTACCCATCTTCCCAAGGCAGTGTTAATCTTGCTGGGTTAGGGTGTCCTCTCGCCAATGAGTGCTGCAAAATCAGAAATCACAAAATTGTAAAGTAAAAGATGTAAGCAGATTGCGTTGGTGGTGCGTTGGTTGGTGCTGCGGTGGTGGTGGTGGTGGTTGGGGGGGGGGGGATGGTGGTGGTGATAATCTCCTCATTTCTGAACTGGAACCGCCTTAATTACCTCTAGGACCCAATATTACCTCTTGCTCTGGTACTAGTGTTTCTACTTTCTGGCCACAGGGTGCGCTAGTAGTCTGTTACAAGAAAATTCAATAGCTCACAGTGTAAATCTGTATATTATTTTAGGAGCCCCGTATTACACCCTGATGTCAGAGGGTAGATGCTTTCTATCTAATAATATCGCGAGCATTCCGGATGTCATAAAATAAAGGCACATTGACATGTCAATCATTTTCCTAGGGTATTCAACTGATATACCGAGAACTAAATGAGGCTTATTTGGTGCCCCACGCAGCGACAATTAATATGAATGATGATAATGATGAACATAGAGAACCGAACTCAGTGATGCTCTTACATCAATCTACGCAGTTCGATGATATGTTGATTTTTTAAATATCAATTCTATCAGATAATGACTTTTTTTCTTCAAAAGCGTACATTACGTAACGCATCCATTAGCTGATAAATCAGTGTCTTGAGAATATGCCATACTGAACTCAGCATAGATCAATGTTTCCTATAACCTCGTGGAGAGAGCCGCGACTTTATCAATAGCCTAAAGAAATGATATCCGCGGCCGGCCCAATGTACAGTAGTTGATGGGAACTGCAGCATACTCACTCCGACATAGGAACAATTCCAATAACTAAGGCACAGCTCTCATTGCTTATACAGCGTATTGGGCATTGTAACTGTGCGGCAAAACATCAATATAATATTATAGTCAATGTTAGTAAATATTTAGTAGGACCTCAGGTTCGATACAGGGGTGATTTGTGTATTTAAATAAGACAGTCTCTGAGAGAGAGAGAGAGAGAGAGAGAGAGAGAGACTTGGTTATTGTTTGTATAAGACGCATTCAAACAAGAATATATAACACTTTGCTTACTGGTTTTGTTTTAAGTTTAAACAATGTAGCAATGATAACTAATAATAATTCGTTTTTTTGCATCTACATTTACAGAGAATGATTTTCCGTACATCCTATAGCTACAAACATCTCTAGCCTATAAAGCAACATATTTTTCAACTCTAAAAATCCTGAAAAGAATCTGAGAATGTATAATCATTCGTTAATTAAATAATATCAACATGATATTGTCTCATTTAACCTGCTGCACGGTAATTAACCAGTGGCTAAATGCACATTTATATTGGAAGTTGAAGAGATCACTGCGTTGATCTGAAGGCCTTGCCTGTGCCCCATTAAAACTGCTTGCTGATCGAAACGGATTAAAGAGATAGATACTTATTCATGACATTTAGACATGTAATACCAAAGTGATAGACAGATGCTTGAACTCACTCGCCATGGTGTTCCCCCAATGCATGTCATTAAAATATTCTAAAACCTCATTGTTGGAAAGGTGCAATACGTTAACTTACGTGATACCCGTGTCTGTTGCAGATCTATTTCCATTATTTCATCAGACTACTATTGGAAATTAATATATCTCTTCCGATATGTAGATAGCAAGTTCGGTATCGTCTAATGCATATCAGTGTTACGTGACAATATTCAATTTCCCGTCTGTTTGTTACTGTTCAGTCCCTCCAAGTAATAAAATATATGGCAACTAAACAAAATCAAATCAATTGTCTCAGTTGAAGTTAATATTGATAACCACATTTATCATTGGTTTATCATTCCCATACGCTGTGAGGCTTCTGAAGAGAGACAGGGACGAGGACAGCTAGGGAGTACAAACATGCACTCTGACGGCTAGCATTGATTATGTTAAACCAACATGGAGACAGTCAACAAATCGCGTGCAAACCCACAGCCCCTTTTAGCTCCTAGTTTCCTGGAGTCAAGTAACAGTTGCCTCTGCGTTTGTTTTTCAACATGATGACAGTGTCGTTTGTTCTAGGTCTTTTAAACACCTGATGACGACGACAAATTGCAAAGTTTGTCCTATAGTTCCAGAAAAAGAAGCTTTCACGGACTTTGAAGATCCAGATGAGGGACAGGGCCGTTCCACCAAAGGTAGAGATTGAAACCAAGATCATTTAAAACACTATAGGCGAACTAATGTCTGTGCAAAAATACGATATAGTATTTCGCTTTAGAGAAAATTCATTCTTCCTTTAGCTAAAACCAATGAAAGTGTTAAACAAGCTAAATGTAAAGATAATTCACGTAAAATGCAAATTGTGAGCAGGGTTAAAGCTTTCATAACTAAAATGACATGCCGTTGCGACTTAATAGCAAGCTATAGCTTGTGTAAAATACAAAATCCAGTAGGAAGAAAGGATACTACCAAAAACCCGGAGAACGACATTTTTTCCGATGAATTTTCATTGTAGATAATCGAAAACATAAAGGTGGATCAATACGAGTACTATAATGAAACTATTTAGTTTGTAAAACGTAGATATTAATTATTATACATCGATTGGCAGTTTGCTTATGCTACAGTGTGTCTACGTTTTATTAAATATTAATTTGTACTCCTTTACATACATGTCCATATCAAAACCAACTGAAATCAAATCATAAATCTACTGATTTTTTGCCTTTTCAGCATACAGTGGGCTGTGTGGCGGGCTGTGCTGTGTGCCAGGTTGTGTGTACGGAGCGATAGGCGTGCTCTATGTGTGCGTCATTTTGCCATTGGGTACGTATAAGGAGAGCCTCAAAGACCACCATAGCATGGTTTGGTTGTGCACAGGACTCTGTTTCAACTTAAAAATTGGTTTTGTTTTTCGAAATGTTTGAGTACCGCTTATCTTATTCCTTCAAACAAAGAAACCTTAAAAGACGTGGTTGTTATTGTCGCGACCCTGATTTCTGCTGGCAGTGGAGCCTACAACCTATTGACGGGTATAACGAGTACTGTGCACCAAATCTCGGCCCAATTGAAATGCAGTTTCTGTTTTGTCGGATAGAATACCATTCACTCAGTTGAGAGAAATGTTCTGAAAATAGTGCAAATCGTTGTAAATTGCTATATATATTCAGTTTTTTACATGTCAACATGGAAGGGAGCTGAATCCGCCATTTTAATATTATCTTTTTTTTTCGAAGTAGAAAGCCGCGAGGGTAGGGTAAGGGTGGTAGAGGGGGATGCAAAAGCGCAGGTTATCCCTGGACCCCACAGTGTTATGGCGGAAAATCAGTGCAAAAACCTAACAATTCCTCTTCCAAATAGTGGTTTGTATTAAAGATAGTCACCATCAAGCCTTACAAAGAATAACAGTGACCCTGACGCAGCAGTGGTGTCTTTGTGCATCTAAAGTTGAAGACGGCTGTCTTTAAAAGTGTCACTATTTCCCCTACCACAGGCTTCAATAAAAGTGGTATTTTTTCTATAGGAATTGAAAACATGACGTAATTAAGAATCAGCCAGGAAGCTTATCGAAAAGAGTGAAATACGTAACCACTCACATGAATTAATTACCCAGCTTGTATTGATCCCCTTTTCGTATAAATCTTGATGTTGGTTATTTCCATCAGCAGAAAATGAATAGAAAAATATTACCGGTCTGTTGTTGTGTATGAGTTTTTAATAATTCAAAGGACAGGTGAGGCAGTCCGTATCAGCGCTTTTCCTTGGAGAGCCCTTCTCATCGGGTTTTACGTTTGAGTTACTGTGTACAAATCAATATACTAGTGGTATTGACAACAAGTTCACCGTTATCTTGAACAATGTTCTAATGATAAATACAAAATGTAACAGAAAAACGACCTCGGAATTTTTTCTGTTGACTACAGGCACTACAGGGTTAAAATATTTATGAATCCTTTATCTAATTGTGTGTCTTTTGAAAACACCGTTACGAAATGAGCTGAATTTGCTCTGAGACTTACATAAGTACTGTATGAACGTCATGTAGCCTCTTCCTGATAAATTCATTGTAATGCTAAGTTTCTGTTGACATACTGAAACTGGTTATAAAATTTTTCAAGCCTTCACTTTACTTTACCGAAATGTCTCTAGCTGCGGCGTGCTTGGGATGATGGTGCTTGCAGTGCGATGGGATCTGAGCAAATCAAATCGCCAGTCAGTAGCCAGACTTCACTAGCGTGCCCTTCAGCGGCGGATTTAGGGCGTCTTCTGGGTCTTCCGGAAGACGGTCAGATTTTCAAGTTTACATTGACGGGTATCTAATTTTTTTTTCGGTAAACGGTCAGAAATTAGGAACGGATTAACAAAGATAATTAGAAAGACTGTCAGAAAATATCTCTGGATCCGCCCCTGCCCTTGCCCCTATTTCATAAGTCTGCTAAGATTCTCGGCGGAATAATTTCCTACGAAAAATTCAATGAGAATCTTGACTTGGTTTTCTGTTTGTAAAATGAATCTTTTAAACAGATTAAAGAGGAAAGTGCATTAGAACAATATCTGGTTGCTGGAGCTGTGATTGATGGCAGATCACATTGCATTATATTAATACTTCTCGTATTTATTAGAACTGCTGTGAATGCAGCTGACTGCTAAATCCTCGGTCACAACCTACCCTCTACCAGAGCTGCAGTTATTGTTGTGGACATTTTTTGCTGAATCGACTGAGAGCCAAATTGACTGTCTATTTATCTATAGACATATCTGTGAACATCTGTGGAAAATCAATCTGTTGCCCTGGTAGAGGGTAGTCACAACCGGCCGTACGGGCTCTTACGGCCTTTTTGCGTCCAAATTTTGCGCAGAATCTCATGTGCCGCGCAAGTCCTTCTTGCGTGATTTGGAGTTCGCAGACAACCCGTAAGCACGTACGGAGGATGTTGGACATGTTCAAAAGATTCTACGAATAATCTGCAAACAGCAAGGCCGCAAGCGTAACTTGCTCCCCTCCCAAGGAGTTCGCGAGAAATTCGCAGGTGAGACGTGCATGGTCCAAGACCCACGTCGCAAGCAATGAAGGAGCAAGTGCCCTTTGCGTGTTGAGTGCGGTGCACGAACGAAGTCGAAAGCACGGCGGGAGTGCGTCGTACATGCATCACCCCAGGCCAGGAGTATAAAAGTGTGCTCACGACGCACGCTCGTGCTTCGATAATTAACGTCGATTGTGCAACATGTACAACAATTTTTAAAAATTTCGAATTTCGCTCAGTTCAGCTTCTCATATGCCTCCAAAAGGCAAGGGAAAGAAGCTGAGAGAGAGAAAGAAGGGAGGAGGAAAAAGAAAGAAGGGGAGAACAGGAGGCAAAACCAACGTACACGGTCAGTACGTCATTACAAGCGTGTGAGGCAAGTGTGAAGCAAAAGAGAACTACTTTCGCCGTGCGTTGCATTCTCTTCATAAATGGTGAGTGCATGCCACGTACGCAGGTAACAAGACAAGCTCAAGAAATGAGTACAGTTTCCAGGGCCATCGCACCTTACAATTAGCGCCCCTGTTTGAAAGGACATCTCACGTGGCCCCTGCGACTCGCAAGGCAGATTTGTGCTTTTCCGTTGCAAACTTTCATCAACCTCTACGAACTCCACGGATTCTACCGCATCCTAAAATCCGTTCGTCCGGTTGTGACCGAGGCTTCAGGCAAGGTTAAAAAAAATAAAACGTGCATTTTAATGTTTTGGTGATGGTTTGTGTTGCCTCAGAGGGAATGTTTCAAAAGCATCCTTGTTTAAAAGATAAATAAGAAGTTTTCTAGCGAATTTCTAGTGAACAATCAACATTTGTAAAGAAGAGACAAACAAAAAAATTCCCACCGTTAATTGTTAAAATGCACTGTTAAATAATGCAGTATGGCATACACATTCTGACTAAAACGTTGTTCAATGTACCGCCTGATATGAAACATTTATACTGAAAACAGCTTACATAGATAACTCTTTATATGTCTATAATTTCAGGCCTATTGTTGGCACTTTACGGAAGCGGGGACTCCAGCCTCCTTGCCACTGGGATCCTCTTGACGATACTGCCACCTATCACGATCCCTGGAGCTTTATATATCTGCCACAGATGTAGAAAAAATCACCACAAAAGAAAAAGTGAGAGATATGTACCAAAGCCTCCTGAGATGTGAGACAAAACCTCGACAAAAACGTTGAAGCATTTATTTATGTCCGCGGCAAATCATGCACTTAGGTTCTTTGGATTGATTTATTCAAAGCAAATATCATTTTCAAACGTCCATTTACGACAGAACTATAACATTTCATCATCTCACCTAGTAGGAGCATTTCAATTTTTTACTCTGGGACGCAGGCAATATGAAATGGACAACATCTTTTAGATTCATTAAAGAAAGTATGAAAGTGCACAGACGGATTCATATGTGCCTTTATTGAATGCGAATAAGGACACGAGAAGAAGAGTTAATGCAGGAACGAGTCCCGATGTACGATGAGACGGCGAGACTGCTGACTACCAAAACTGCAACAGATACATGTGAACAAAAAATGAGGAATCGGGAACTTTCTGTCCTCACATTCTAAGTGTGTGTACAGTGCATTTACGTGCACAGTGTTGTTCACGAGAGCGTTTGAACAGACTATCCTGTTTACTTAACTGAAGCGTCACATGTCGACACTTTAAGTACATACATTTCATGGGCACAAAGTTGTCTGAAATATTCACAAACATTTTTGATAATGAATATCCTTTTTATTACACTATACATATAAGACTTAATATACAATATGTATATAAACTGCTATATATAACGTGTAAATGTATTTACAATATGCATGATACGCAGCCATTTGTGTAGTTATTTTCATACATGTACGTCAAATACAGTATTTGGTTTGCGCGTTTGAGTGAGTGTTTGTGTGTTTGTGAGAGAAAACAACTAGAAAAACCCGTTAGGATCGTCATTTAAATGGAAATGTTACATGTAAGAGTATAAACAACAAAGAAATTCAATATTCAAATTTGTACTCGGATCCTGTTTGATATCCAGAAAGGAGTGAACGATACTATGTATAGTAGCCTAAGTGATACGTTAATTGCTTGATCTTTCTAATACATACATCTCCATGGTACAAGACAACATAAAGTAATTTTAGCAATGACTTCCTCGCCTGCAGTGTACAACTAGTGCTCACAACCAATGGTCAAACTTATTTATCTGATGACCGAAGATTATCATCAAAACATACAGGATCGAGATTGATCTACATATGAATCTAAAAACCCATTCTTTCAACGTCCTTTGAAGATTCCGTGCAAGAACAATATTCCACCAACGTCCTACAAAAGTCGTGATATTTTCTGCATTCCTTTTCCACCTGCGGAATCCAGGTGATACATTTTCATAGTGGGATCGTTACTTAGTTCTGTTTTCAGGTCAAGGTCATTGCGTCAAGGGTCATATGCCAGCAGACAGTGCAGCATCTCCTAGAGCTCCCCGAGAGAAAACGTCAAGTTTTAATGATTTCCGTCAAATTGCGATGGTTGCGCTATTTGTCGTCACAACGCGATATCCGAGATTCTGGTGATATTAATGCTGTTTCATTTGCTGTGAGCTTGGGTGTAAATTTACTCTACTGGTATGAATATTTTTAAACTTACAGAGATGGACATACATTTAAATTTGTGTGTCACACTTTTTAGGCGCCATGGGTGTATATGACAGCGGTTCTCCTTTGTATGGCCTGATGCTGTCGATGTCTGGGCGAAACAACACCTTGCATCTCTTTAATAAATAGAAACAAAAATATTTCAGTCAACATTTACCGAAGTGCACATTTGCTTCATTAATGCCTGACCCAGGTAGCATGTATTTTTAATCAAAGACGAACAACAACAATATAGATATCACCCTGAAGGTCATATCTGAAATATTTAAATCTACTGAATGCTTTTTTAAACACATTCCATTAGCATAACATACTGCAAAATTTAAAGAAAGTAGAATTTCGTCAAGTTGGCATTTAATGTCAAGTTAACTTACGGATCTAAAATCTCCCGGAGTTGAGGCTAGCCTATAAATCATGTACGAAGGTACGACAAGAATTGACGAGAGTGCCATAAACCAGCCAATCATATCAGCCCACCAGGGGTATTCATAGTCCAAGTATTTGGGGCTTTTATATTGTACTATACTGAATATCAGGACACCCTAAGAAGAGAAAAGACAAAGATATTACTACCGGGATACATGTATAATAATGAAAATATGTGTGTTATCTTAACTTATTAGAATCACAACTTTAAACGTACCTCAGTTGGTTAGAAAAAAGTCACCGCTTGATTAGATGTGAAATACAACTAATAAGTGCATTTTCAATTCAGTTTGCACATTCGTCGTTTATTTGAGTTAAAATAGAAAAATAATGGTGCATGTATCAGGAATTATATACAATTGCGTTAGGTGTGACAAACTTATGATCTGCGTTAAATTGATCCGTCGCAATAAGGCAACAGTGGTCTGTCTTTATTTAGAGCCATGCATCACAGCAAACGTTTAAGAATGATTTTTAAAGAATTACCCTGCATTCAACGAACCACAGACATAAATATGCACCCTTTCAGCTAAAGGGGGCATGTCACTAGCATTTTGTCGTTACTCACGCATGTTATTGAGAGATGTAATTCTTATTGATTCAGGTATTGTGGGATACGATGTTAGTGTCAAATGGACATTATGTATGAGTGAGCTTACCCCACAGATAAGAGGCGTAAATATCAACCAGCAGTATTTCCAAAACGGACAAGGATAGTAACCTATCATATCGTTGATGTCATCGTAGAAACGATTCACGCCTGAAAGACGAAGAGGCGGTGTATAAGTACTAATATATGAGACATGTATTAAATACTTGATACATTCAGATTGTGTTGTTTCAGGTTGGAACACTTATGTTATATTTAATCATTACAAACACAGCCCAAAGACGATTTCGTCGTTAAACCAACCCTATGAACTTTCTTAATAAACAATGGATAGTATACATGAACAATATCCCCAATACTATACAAAGGTGTGCGCACAATGTCTCATGCCTTTGTGGACCAGTATTCTAAAATGTGCATCAAACAAATGGTACGCAGATGAAGTTATAAATTATTGTAGCATCTAATGGTACTAAACTACCGTTATACTAAAGCCTCAAAAATACAGCCAAAGTGAAAAATTGTCAAATTGTAAATGTTTTGAAGTAATATTTTGACTAAAAGTAAACTTGCAGTATTTTCCTTTACTGCACAAATACAGGGTATGCTCTACAACTCAGCTGCATACTTTGAACAGGGTTTTACCAAGGAGTTATAACAGAAGGNTAGAGGAAAGTACATTAGAACAATATCTGGTTGCTGGCGCTGTGTTTGATGGCAGATCACATTGCATTATATTAATACTTGTACGTGTTTATTAGAACTGCTGTGAATGCAGCTGACTGCTAAAGCCTCGGTCACAACCTACCCTCTACCAGAGCTGCAGTTATTGTTGTGGACATTTTTTGCTGAATCGACTGAGAGCCAAATTGACTGTCTATTTATCTATAGACATATCTGTGAACATCTGTGGAAAATCAATCTGTTGCCCTAGTAGAGGGTAGTCACAACCGGCCGTACGGGCTCTTACGGCCTTTTTGCGTCCAAATTTTGAGCAGAATCGCATGTGCCGCGCAAGTCCTTCTTGAGATTTGTAGTTCGCAGACAACCCGTAAGCACGTACGGAGGATGTTGGACATGTTCAAAAGATTCTACGAATAATCTGCAAACAGCGAGGCCGCAAGCGTAACTTGCTCCCCTCCCTAGGAGTTCGCGAGAAGTTCGAAAGTGAGACGTGCGTGGTCCAAGACGCACGTCGCAAGCAATAAAGGAGCAAGTGCCCTTTGCGTGTTGAGTGCGGCGCACGAACAAAGTCGAAAGCACGGCGGGAGTGCGTCGTACATGCGTCACCCCAGGCCAGGAGTATAAAAGTGTGCTCACGCTCGTGCCTCGACAATTAACGTCGATTGTGCAACATGTACAACAATTTTTAAAAAATTCGAATTTCGCTCAATTCAGCTTCTCATATGCCTCCACAAGGAAAGGGAAAGAAGCTGAGAGAGCACAAAAGAAGGGAGGAGGAAAAAGAAAGAAGGGGAGAACAGGAGGCAAAACCAACGTACACGGTCAGTACGTCATTACAAGCGTGTGAGGCAAGTGTGAAGCAAAAGAGAACTACTTTCGCCGTGCGTTGCATTCTGTTCATAAATGATGAGTGCATGCCACGTACGCAGGTAACAAGACATACTCAGGAAATGAGTACAGTTTCCAGGGCCATCGCACCTTACAATTAGCGCCCCTGTTTGAAAGGACATCTCACGTGACCCCTGCGACTCGCAAGGCAGACTTGTGCTTTTCCGTTGCAAACTTTCATCAACCTCTACGAACTCCACGGATTCTACCGCATCCTAAAATCCGTTCGTCCGGTTGTGACCGAGGCTTCAGGCAAGGTTCAAACAAATAAAAACGTGCATTTTAATGTTTTGGTGATGGTTTGCGTTGCCTCAGAGGGAATGTTTCAAAAGCATCCCTGTTTAAAAGATAAATAAGAAGTTTTCTAGCGAATTTCTAGTGAACAATCAACATTTGTAAAGAAGAGACAAACAAAAAAATTCCCACCGTTAATTGTTAAAATGCACTGTTAAATAATGCAGTATGGCATACACATTCTGACTAAAACGTTGTTCAATGTACCGCCTGGGATGAAACATTTATACTGAAAACAGCTTACATAGATAACTCTTTATATGTCTATAATTTCAGGCCTATTGTTGGCACTTTACGGAAGCGGGGACTCCAGCCTCCTTGCCACTGGGATCCTCTTGACGATACTACCACCTATCACGATCCCTGGAGCTTTATATATCTGCCACAGATGTAGAAAAAATCACTACAAAAGAAAAAGTGAGAGATATGTACCAAAGCCTCCTGAGATGTGAGACAAAACCTCGACAAAAAAGTTGAAGCATTTATTTATGTCCGCGGCAAATCATGCACTAATTAGGTTCTTTGGATTGATTTATTCAAAGCAAATATCATTTTCAAACGTCCATTTACGACAGAACTATAACATTTCATCATCTCACCTAGTAGGAGCATTTCAATTTTTTACTCTGGGACGCAGGCAATATGAAATGGACAACATCTTTTAGATTCATTAAAGAAAGTATGAAAGTGCACAGACGGATTCATATGTGCCTTTATTGAATGCGAATAAGGACACGAGAAGAAGAGTTAATGCAGGAACGAGTCCCGATGTACGATGAGACGGTGAGACTGCTGACTACCAAAACTGCAACAGATACATGTGAACAAAAAATGAGGAATCGGGAACTTTCTGTCCTCCCATTCTAAGTGTGTGTACAGTGCATTTATGTGCACAGTATTGTTCACGAGAGCGTTTGAACAGTCTATCCTGTTTACTTAACTGAAGCGTCACATGTCGACACTTTAAGTACATACATTTCATGGGCACAAAGTTGTCTGAAATATTCACAAACATTTTTGATAATGAATATCCTTTTTATTACACTATACATATAAGACTTAATATACAATATGTATATAAACTGCTATATATAACGTGTAAATGTATTTACAATATGCATGATACGCAGCCATTTGTGTAGTTATTTTCATACATGTACGTCAAATACAGTATTTGGTTTGCGCGTTTGAGTGAGTGTTTGTGTGTTTGTGAGAGAAAACAACTAGAAAAACCCGTTAGGATCGTCATTTAAATGGAAATGTTACATGTAAGAGTATAAACAACAAAGAAATTCAATATTCAAATTTGTACTCGGATCCTGTTTGATATCCAGAAAGGAGTGAACGATACTTACAGTAAGTGATACGTTAATTGCTTGATCTTTCTAATACATCCATCTCCATGGTACAAGACAACATAAGGTAGTTTTAGCAATGACTTCCTCGCCTGCAGTGTACAACTAGTGCTCACAACCAATGGTCATATTTATCTGATGACCGAAGATTATCATAAAAACATGCAGGATCGAGATTTATCTACATATGAATCTAAAAACCCATTTTCTTAACGTCCTTTGAAGATTCCGTGCAAGAACAATATTCCACCAACGTCCTACAAAAGTCGTGATATTTTCTAAATTCCTTTCCCACCTATGGAATCCAGACGATACATTTCCATAGTGGGATCGTTACTTAGTTCTGTTTTCAGGTCAAGGTCATTGCGTCAAGGGTCATATGCCAGCAGACAGTGCAGCATCTCCAAGAGCTCCCCGAGAGAAAACGTCAAGTTTTAATGATTACCGTCAAATTGCGATGGCTGCGCTATTTTATCGTCACAACACAATATCCGAGATTCTGGTGAATTTAATGCTGTTTCACTTGCTGTGAGCTTGGCTGTAAATTTACTCTACTGGTATGAATATTTCTAAACTTACAGAGATGGACATACATTTAAATTTGTGTGTCACACTTTTTAGGCGCCATGGGTGTATATGACAGCGGTTCTCCTTTGTCTGGCCTGATGCTGTCGATGTCTGGGCGAAACAACACCTTGCATCTCTTAAATAAATAGAAACAAAAATATTTCAGGCAACATTTACCGAAGTGCACATTTGCTTCATTAATGCCTGACCCAGGTAGCATGTATTTTTAATCATAGACGAACAGCAACAATATAGATAACACCCTGAAGATCATATTTGAAATATTTAAATCTACTGAATGCTTTTTAACACATTCCATTAGCACAATTTAAAGAAATTACAATTTCGTCAAGTTGGCATTTAATGCCAAGTTAACTTACGGATCTAAAATCTCCCGGAGTCGAAGCTAGCCTATAAATCATATACGAAGGCACGACGAGAATTGACGAGAGTGCCATAAACCAGCCAATCATATCAGCCCACCAGGGGTATTCATAGTCCAAGTATTTGGGGCTTTTATATTGTACTATACTGAATATCAGGACACCCTAAGAAGGAAAAGACAAAGATATTACTGCCGGGATACATGTATAATGATGAAAATATATGCGTGTTATCTTAACTTATTAGAATCACAACTTTAAACGTACCTTAGTTTGTTAGAAAATAGAAAAGGTCACCGCTTGATTAGATGTGAAATACAACTAATAAGTGCATTTTCAATTCAGTTTGCACATTCGTCGTTTATTTGAGTTAAAATTGAAAATAATGGTGCATGTATCAGGAATTATATACAATTGCGTTAGGTGTGACAAACTTATGATCTGCGTTAAATTGATCCGTCGCAATAAGGCAACAGTGGCCTGTCTTTATTTAGAGCCATGCATCACAGCAAACGTTTAAGAATGATTTTTAAAGAATTACCCTGCATTCAACGAACCACTGACATAAATATGCACCCTTTCAGCTAAAGGGGGCATGTCACTAGCATTTTGTCGTTACTCACGCATGTTATTGAGAGATGTAATTCTTATTGATTCAGGTATTGTGGGATACGATGTTAGTGTCAAATGGACATTATGTATGAGTGAGCTTACCCCACAGATAAGAGGCGTAAATATCAACCAGCAGTATTTCCAAAACGGACAAGGATAGTAACCTATCATATCGTTGATGTCATCGTAGAAACGATTCACGCCTGAAAGACAAAGAGGCGGTGTATAAGTATTAATATATGAGACATGTATTAAATACTTGATACATTGTGTTGTTTCACGTTGGAACACTTATGACATAATGTTATATTTAATCATTACAAACACAGACCAAAGACGGTTTAGTCGTTAAACCAACCCTATGAACTTTCTTAATAAACAATGGATAGTATACATGAACAATATCCCCAATGCTATACAAAGGTGTGCGCACAATGTGTCATGCCTTTGTGGACCAGTATTCTAAAATGTGCATCAAACAAATGGTACGCAGATGAAGTTATAAATTATTGTAGCATCTTATGATACTAAACTACCGTTATACATTGTACTAAAGCCTCAAAAATACAAAGTGAAAAATTTTCAAATTGTAAATGTTTTGAAGTAATATTTTGACTAAAAGTAAACTTGCAGTATTTTCCTTTACTGCACAAATACAGGGTATGCTCTACAACTCAGCTGCATACTTTGAACAGGGTTTTACATACTCGTAGGTTATCGACATTTGAACATAAACAGTCACAAACAGTTTACAAAGAAACAAATGCACCTTGAAATAATTTGGCGCAATGAATACAGCATCAGTGGCAAAAGTTTTGCGTTAAGGCCAAGCTGCAGGCTTTTTAGCAATATCATTCCAGCTCAAACTCCAACCATGGGGCAGAGAGACCGTCTTAATAATATCCCTGATTAGGAACAAATTCTGTTTCTGGTACGTTTGTTAAAATGATACCCTTGTGGCGCTGATATGATTAGAATTAGAGAGAAAATTCACGTGCAATCGCTGTGTCAGTTTATACCGTCCAATCAACAGAAAGGTTCAAAAATAATAACAGAAGCGATTTTTTTAAACTGTAAGTGTTCAGTGTCGATAGCTCTTAACACTCAGAGGAGGTGTTTACGATATAAGGCGTTTTCCTTCATTTACAATATAACTACTTAAGTCAGAGATTTAAACACACCAGAGAATAAATACCTCACATGGAATATGTACGCAGTAAACGTAAAAGAAAATTACGGAAGAGCTTTGCTGTACTGCGTTTGTCTAAAAATCCATTCTTTAGGACTTAATGAAATCTGTATGTACATATGATTGCATTTTTACTTACCATAAGCCCATGAGAATGCGATGCATTCACAAAAGATCAAGAACAGTAAGCACATTCCGCTTGCAGAGTAATAGTCCATCAGCTGAAAAACGTACATTCCACCCTGGAAGAAAATAGACCCAACATTGTCGTGAATACTAATTTTTGAAAAGTTCGTTTTTAAAGACACTGTAGTAGCCCATGCTCCTTACCTTGCTTAATTTTAATAAGTATTACAGTCCATGTACAAAACATTGAACAAAATAACCAACAAGCTACCAAACAAACGCCATGCTTTCTAGATCTAGTAGCAAACATGATTATTCATGATTGGCCAAATAATTGCCAAAATAATTTGAAAGTTATTGAAAAGGATTATTTTAATCACTCGTAGATCAGAACGAAAATAATTTCAAAGCACATTTCAAATCTAGCGTCATCCTCGCCTTAATATCCATGGTTGAAACGGCGTTTCACTAAAGGAACTTTGTAAAAACACTTAAAGCTAAAGGTATGCTTTGAAAAGTACTTTTTTGTTTTAAAAGAAAGTGGGTATCGAAATCAGTATTCACATCAGAGCCCCCTTTTCCATGTGTCATTCTGAAAAAACTTCTCTTTGGTAAACGTTTCACCACATGCTGTGCAGAAAAGCATTTTTACAATCACTGCCATACTTTGTAATGTTAAACGCATGATCATGTCAAACTATTGAAATACATGTAATACGGCTGAAAATTGACTCCAGATGTTTAGCTTTTTCACTACAAGGGATTTTGTTTAAAGAAAAACACCGATTGAATGGCTACAAAGGCTAAAAATGACCATCCCGTACCTCAGTTATACACGCTAAGCCAATTAAATATGATATTAGGCAGACAACTGCAATAAAAATCTCTTTTCTCTTCCGTAGTACACGTGGCCATTCATCCACACATGCCGTGATAAAACCTTCCATTGTGCAAAACTGAAACAGGAAGATATATACAGTTAAATGCATATAGATAAACTGAATATCGTTTCTGCGAGTTCTGCATATTATGCTTAAGCCTATTCGTTTTTGTTTTTTATAGTTGGTTTTAACATTTCAACAATGTAACATGAATAACTAATTCAAAGCTGAACATGATGCTACTACACAACAATATCAGTCTTAATATTTTTGGTTTCATTGTAATTGTTATATATAAATAAAACTGCTCAATAGAGCAGACTTGCAAAATATATAATGCAATAATAGAACCATGAAATAAGGGAGACAGTTACATGTATACGGGGGTGCGTGGATGGAGAATCCCCAATACCCTCATTCTATTGGTATACATACTTTACATGTATGATATACTCCCATGGGAGTTATTTGTATCTATCATGCACGATTTTGCCTATCCATAGCTGTCATAAAACACAATTCTTATGAAAAAAATAGTTCATTTTGGGTCTATCATCTATCAACAAAAATATTTTAAACGAAAATCTCTAAAATTATGGCCTCTACTGCCGGACAGAAATTTTACCACAAACTCACAAACGCGCAAACAAATTCACAAACGATCAGAGCAATAGAATTAATTGCAAAAGTATTTTTTCGCAAGTAATAACATGCTCATATCATCAGCTTTTATAGACAGTAATATTATTCTAGTACGTATCACCAGCTGAAAAGGTACATTATGTAAATCATCGTTAAAACACAACATTCAATTGCACGTAAAGGATAAGAGACATTCATCTGATTCATCCGACACTGAAACCGTGAAGATTACCTGACTATCGAGGCCAAGGAAAAGAATCATAAGAAAGAAGAGGATTGCCCAAAGCGGTGAGAGAGGGAGCTGTACTATGGCCGATGGATAGGCCAGAAATGCTAGACCAGGGCCTAGAAAGAGGATATAAGTATCTATCGAAAAGGCATATACGACAAAAAATTAAAGTCGAGATTATTAAATAATACAAAATACAAACTGAAAGAAGCTAAAGCAACATTAACTCTCCAGAAATCAAACCAGATCAACAGTTCAAGCATTACGGGGTATGAAGGTCACAAGACAGGAGATGATCAGGTTAGTAGCTGCAGTTGTGAGGTTTGGGCCGGTGTCTCCAGCACCAGTAAAGCTCTCCAGTTATCACCTTGTGCTCAGCCAGTTAGTTTTCTGAACTGGGTGCCATTATAGTTACACAAAGGAACACCACATTGGGAAGAGTAATCTAGGTGAGTTTGCCCCGTATCGTGGCGTAGAACATGCATCTTGTTTGTTTGGGCTACGTTACCTGACTGTCAAGTCCAAGAAATAGAATCATCGTGAAGAAAAGTACTGACCACAGCGGAGATATAGGCAGCTGAACCACAGCAGAAGGGTAAGCAAGAAAAGCCAACCCAGGACCTAAAATCATGCGGAATATAATGGCATCAAATTTAACTGAGCCCTATTTTCCACAAACAAAACGTTATTATTAGCCACGTTAAGCAGTCTGAAATGCTAACATGAATACAAACTACTCGTCTAGAGGCATGTTTCAAGTGGACACTGGATAGATCTCGCTTATTTTGAACCATTTTGATGTGCCGTTTGAATGGCTCGCCATTGGACCTCGTATCCAGTCGCAATGAGCACGGCGAACCAACCGTAATGAGGCGAAATGTGGAGATCGACTGTGCTTAGTTAGGTCGACCCAGGTCTGCTGGAACCAGGCCTCAAAGGCGATGCTTTGTACTGACAAAATCAAAAGCATTTCATTCCTACAGAGACAGACGAAAAAAAAAAGATATATTTTAAAGCATTCAGATACAATACAATAATTTACAGCTGTAAAGATCAAACAGGCAAAAAGCTGGCATAAGACTTTTGTCCATAATTCTAGCAGTTACTCTAGTTTTTAGTAACACAGAAAAGCAAACTGAATGTTATATGACCTTTACTTCAAAGCTGATAACAATTGGAAATGATTATAAGCAAACCTTAAACATGCATAGAGCACTAAAGCATACCTTATAATATTGTACAACAGTTTGCATTTAACTTCGAGGATGTTTTGTAGTTCAAAATCTATTTTAAATTTGCCGTATGCTTTCAACATTTTCTTTTATTTCAAAACGGCGTCAGCGCTTCAAAACCTTGAATACAACAAGGCAAATTAACGACATGATTTTTTTACTAAATACACCGCATGGAACTCACCAGACGCTGCCACTTCACTCACAGGCTTTTGTTGTTGCTCCGCCATAAAACCTACTACCGAAAATATGACAAACCCTGCAAACATACTTGTACACGAGTTAACTGTGCAAACTATTAATGCATCTCTGAAAAAAAAAAGAGAAAATTATCACATATCATCCATCATCCACAAATCAATTTAATATTGATATCCGGGTCCGCAGGTTAACGTGTCATCACATGGTCTGTTATATGTATCAAAAATTTAAATATTAGTAGTATTATATGATGTTGCTTAGCCAATTTGAAACAAAGAAAACGAACAATAAATATTAGTGGATATACAGTACAACAAATTTGACATTTGCATTGTCATGTCTTGATCGCATCCGTTTCATTCGTTTTTCTTCGCTAAAATCATATTTCTTCATCATGCTTCCAGCTTTTTTACAATTACGATAGATAAACAGGGGACAAATATGGCGACCCACTAAAAAGCTTGCCGTCTAATCCGCTAATAGACGCTGAATAAACATCCGGTTGGGAAGTATTCAATATTTGACCCTCGGACTAGTTACTCCACTGTTCTGAATGTGGCCTAAGACTGAGAGAACAGTGTGAGTACGACAGTCTGGCGAGACGGTCTAGTCACGCCAAACGCCGAACACAGCTGGTCGTAGACATGTTTTTTTATACATAGACCGTTGCTCCAGGCATAGCTTACACATACAACAAGTTTTATCTAGCAACCATGCAAAATTCTTATGACTTACTTGTAGACGTTATTATGGTAGCGATTGTAGCTTCCCAGCGCAATGACAGCACCGAGACCCAAACCGTACGAGAAGAAGATCTGTGTGGCAGCGTCAATCCATACCTTATATATATATTTTTTATATATAAAAGAAAACAACATCCTTAAAATGATGAAACAAAGGTATTTGCATTTATTTTGTGTCACGGTGTGTGTACACTAATTTTGATAACGAGCTTAGCCACCACTTTATTGAATATATAAAACCATCATAACGTCGTATCACTGAAAGATTATAATAACACCGCCTGAAAAGATTGACTAATAGCTTCAGTTAACATATTTACACACGCGAATAAATCATTCGCAGATATATTAATTCTATTGGCATTAACTTACCATATTATAGGCACCTTACCTGAGAGTCTCCAAGTTTTTCCATCTTCGGGTAAATATAGAACCATATGCCCTGGGAGGCTCCAGGCAGGGTCACACCACGTATAAGCAGAACCAACAGAAGTACATAGGGGAACAAGGCCGTGAAGTACACAACCTAAAAGAGATTAAAAGCATCTTGAAAACTCGAGATTGAATTAAGAAATTGAAACAAAAACAATACCATTTACAAGCACATGTAACAAAAAGAACGGTCGCAAGACAAGGGTCATATCAAGTGACCTTTAAATAACCTTAAACCAGTTTTTCGCAGCATTTGTAAATACCTGGTTCGCTTGTTAAAGGTCAAAAAGACTTTTTCGAGTGTCGTGGACCTAAGTTTACTGTGTTTCATTTTTCAAAAAAAAATTTTTAACAAATTAAGAGATAAAAAAATGTGGATAAATAAATATATAGATAAAAAATAATTATAAAGTAACAAATACACAAATAAACGACGATTTGTATCAAAAAATCACATTGTAAGTGTAGTATCGAGGTAGTCGATTGGGTTACCTTCCCCGTCCACTTTACGCCCTTCCAGATACAGAAGTAACACAGCGCCCAGGCAAATAATAACGTCAGCGACAGCTGCCATCTGATATTGCCTGGTTCGTCTATACCATTCGTGATACGTAGAGCATTACGCCTGAAATATTTCAATGTGTACCTTAAAAAGACGAAAACTGAATAATTTATATATCGAAATAAGTTCATTCGTGTATAAAACTGATTTATGGTTAAACACTGGATAACCACTAAATTTGATCTTCAGGGCAATAGCACAAACACACAAAAAATTAAAAACTCCTCCTTCTGGGATTAGTTCATTCTTTTTCGCCTAAAATAGAGCCTGCTGCATACATAAAATTGCTCTTACTCCCAAAACTCTCTGACAGGAGACGTAAAATTGGTCTGGCACAAAGCAGTGGTAGTGGCATTTATAGAACTGGAGTTCTGTGACGTGTAAACTGTTACGTCATCGGTGCCCCCGAGACTGCTGATCAAGGACGCGTTGATCGTCACTAGGGTCTCATTCAGCTGGTTTTGAAACGCAGTTGTGCAGTTTGGGGCGACGTAGTCTGAACGACACCATTCCGTGTTCCACCAGTTGTCGCAGGACGCCCAGGGTAGCACGGCCTGGAAGGAACTCACGAGGTAGTACAGTGCCCAGGCCAGGATCACGATGTAGTAAATATTTAGCCAGAAAGCCACCACGGCCGCTGCGTATCCAACACCTGTCAGTGAAAAAAAATATTTCACTTATATTTCATTGAGAGTACTGAGTGTCGATATAATATATAATGGGCGTGAAAAGACGATCATATATATTATCTTCGATCGGTGTGTGGGGATTTAATTAGTTCATTAGGAACCTAAAGAGGCATATATATATATAAGACAGAAATTGGCCTTTCCTTTCTTGACATCTGGTGGAGATGGAATTTAAAAGTGTTTACAAGACAGGCTGATTTGACAACTGCAAAATAAAGCACATACGTACGAATCTTAAAATGTATATAAAATGGTATATAGAAATAGATGCATTTAAAATGACTGGCCAGTTTTCTCTTATTTTAGTGCAGTTTCGTACTGCTATGTAGAAATGAACACACAAAGGGAATTGTCAGTGGTAATAATACTCTTTTGTCACAAATTGCAAATAAATTACCTGAAATATTTCGATGGAAGATCAACTGTCTTCATCAGTCGCTGAATGACACAGGTGGCGTTTTGTCACAAAGTATTTGGTGCTACCCCCCCCCCCTCCTGATGACGCAGTTGTGATACTGATAAGAGGACATAGTAGAGGTATCTATTAATATTGCTTGGTGTTTTCCTGCTCCAGATGGCTTCTTTTATTCCCCTAACTCTCCAGTTACTCTCTTTCTGTAGGGTTTTTGCTTGCACTTTCTCTCTTAGTGTCGCAGTCGCGTCATTGGGGGAAGGGGCAGTACTAATTATTCTCGACTTTGTGACACAACGCCACCAACGACTGATGAAGATAACCGGTGGTCCATCGAAATATCTCATGAGTAATTTTTTTTTTCAGTTCGTGATAAAAGAATATCATTACTACTGTCAGTCACCAAACTGATGATATTTTTAAAATAGAACTGATAGTGAATGGAATAATTTGACAACGTCCTATTTCATTTAGGAATCAATACGCACAAAACGGGGTAAGCAAAATAGCAAGGAGAATTTGAACCGTTATCCCAAATAAAACGATGTCAGCATCATAAAGCGGCTGTTCATTCTTTCAAGCTCGCGTTTATGCCATTGGATATTTTTTTTAATCATTTAATATAACACTCGGAAAAAATAATGAATCAAAAGACTTCAAATAACATATATTTCTGTGTACAGTTTTCTTCATCAGCTTACTATCAGCCGGTTAGTTGATAGCAATTTAGTGAGACTCCCTAGGGAGTTAGATCGATCCAAATGGATCGATCTAGGCATGAGAATCCAGTCCATGACTGAAGTGGCTTCCGAGAACTACGCCTGATGACCACGCAACCCAAGCAACTCAGGCCTGTTGATAACCTTTTTATACATAATCTAAACTCTACTAAAATAATAAATGTTGAATTAAGCTGGGCGATTTTTTTTTTTTTTTTTTTTTTTTTTTGAAGCGATCTGAAACAAAACTTAAGTTATTTTCCTGTATTGCATATTTGATTGATTCGGTTTCGCGATCTCGTCTCCAGTCATGGGCTAAAAGAAACCCTGGCAGTAGAGAAAATGAGGTGGAAAGGGTGCAGGAACCGCTTTTCAGTCAACCAGTGACCTTCATCGGCTGCAAGTCCCATAAAAAAAGTGGGGTGCTCGGGTGGCATTTGCTAGTAATAGTTCAACAAAGTTTGTTCGCCTTTGTAGTAACGATAACTTAACTTAGTGGAAGTAAACCTTCTCGGCGTGGTCACAAGTGCCTCGCTTGTAATGATCTGAATGATTCAGCAAGGGCGCATTTTCCTTCTGTTAATGTAGATTCGTGTAAATAGGTACATAAAGGTTTTTGGGGACCTTAGAAATGTATGAAACATATATATATATATATATATATATATATATATATATATATATATATATATATATATAACTTGAATAATTCATTATCAACCATCAGCAACGAGCGCACGGCACCGTGTGACAACTGTACTGTTAAACTGAAAGTATATCACGGAATCTCTTTACACGGTTTTCATGGCTATGAGTACCTTCAAACTTAAAGTTGATATGTAACTAAATCCTTCTCTTTTTTCCTTCACCATCTGCTCAATGCTTTATGTATCTCTTTACTCTTTACAACATCCTCCGCACTTTACCTCATCAAAGCGTAGAGGTATTTAGCTCGTTATGTTTGGCTATTTTAGCCGGCAAATTCAGCTTTAGTTCAGTACCACCTTAACGCTTCTTCTCATATTCTAAACGTTATTATATGAAGATACATCAGGCACGTGAGTTTAAACAACTATCTGATAAAAATGTCTGAGGGGAAGTTTTTTATCGCACATTCCTTTTATTTTTGCACTCGAGGAGAAAAGGGGGAGGAGAGAGCGAGTAAGTCTACGGCAGCTATCCAACTAATTATCTTAACATTCTTCTTTCTTACCCTTGAATATTGGACATAGTTTCCACACGCCCAGTCCCCCAATACTCAGGTACTGCCCTATTGAAGACTCTAGGAGGAACATAGGAATTCCAGCAAAGAACAGCGTTAGGAAATACGGAACCAGAAATGCGCCTGAAATGAGAAAGTAAAATCTATCACATTCCTGCCTCTTGTCGAGATTTAAAGACGGAAACTTCCAACAGCAACAACTGTAGGAGGTTGTTTAGAAAATTTATTCAATATATCGTTTCATATTCATGCACAATCTCTCTCTCTCTCTCTCTTTCTCAATACTGCGATTTGTGTGTGTGTGTGTGTGTGTGTGTGTGTGTGTGCGTATGTGTGTGTGCAATATCATATTCGTTTTCAAGAATAATGTTTGGCAGAATATATTTATGAAAAGGACATTGACAAACTTGTTGTTTAAGATGCAAATACCGCATACCATCAAAGGAAATTTTACAAGTAAAAATAAAAAAAAGCATTGTTAAAGTATTCTCAAGAAAACGCTTGCTGAAAGTATTTTTGACTTGGAGTGTATGTCTTCTTTTTTTTTCATATTGGGTACGAGTATGACTTCTTGTGATGAATAGCCATTTCTATGTTTCATACAAGAACGTGCAAAATGAATGAGCATTTGGATATTGAGCTTACTTATACCTGTCTGTATAGAATGCTGCCGAATTTGTAGGGAGCTTACAAAAGGACACGAGGACTTAATAGAAACTTCATCTTACCCAGCTTCGACAGAAACCCGATTTAGGATTTAAACAGTCCAGTTGTTTATCAAACTGTGACAGCCCTTTTGAACAGTTGCTGGACAATTATTATGTAAAGCAATATTTGTTTATTTACAACACAAATAAAATTGAATCAAATCAAGCGTGCTTTTCTTTCCAGCTCCGAGTTAATAAGATACCAGGGAAAAGCAATGCCGTATACGTGAAATGTAAGTCAACATCAACAGAAAACAAAACAGGTTCACAAGATTTCTATTTGAGGGCAGGGATTGATTATTGTGATTATCGAGGTTCCCAAACACGGCAGTAAAGTACCTTGTTAAGTAGAGTACAACATGCGGTGGCTCGCCACTGGTGACTATTTCATAACTACAGCCGCCTGGAGATGTCAAATAGAACGTTTCAGAGCCCATTCTTTTATTGTCGGTATGAACACACTTTAGTTCTAAAGTTGCAGCTTATACTAGCGAGAGAGTCCTCGATATCTTCAGTAACATTGCATAGCTCCGCGTTATGTCAATTCAATGTCCTAACACTCAGTTGTAGAAAATATTGACTGTTTTCTTCACAAGTCACTGGCTAGCCACGCAGACTCTCGACGGGTGCCCGCCAAATCACCATTGAACTAAATCACTAAGGCGCTATAAGCGCAAATTGCGGCGAAATTTGTCACTATAATCCCCGTAGCTGTCTAAAATGACGACGTTGAATCAATCCGATTGATACGAAACAATTATTGTATTGAGACTAAGCTGAATCATCTTCGGCGACTTAGTATTTGTCTTTGGGGCATGGTAAATCTGAAGACGTCGTAAATATTTTAAATGACGAAAATACCTGCAATGAACAAACTGTCGCCTTTCTATCTGCTGCTACAGCCTACTTTTGTTATTAATGCTTCTGACTTTTGACTTCCTTAAATATTTTGTCCTCAAAACTAGCTTTAAAAGAAAGGAAAAGTTTAATTGAGAGTTGCGCAGTGAAACCGTCTATATATGATTATGATCTCCCGGAGTGTGAACCCTGACTGGAGTTCTTGTATTTTTTAAAGTTATACTCAGTGCACTATTTATACTCGGTCTTACAAGGCATATAAGCACGCCTGTACACACATGCCCAACGTACAAATACATAAGATATTTCAAACACATCAGGCTACCCTATTCCAGTTGTGTGATATATTGCGATCTGTAATTCGGCTTCTGGTGCTTCAGGTGTAGGTGAAGAAATGGCATGTCGAAGCCCTTTTCATACCAACCACTTCACCAAGGAAGTGTGTAAATCACTGCCGAGCACTCAGGCAGTAACCCGCAGCACACATAAACCGCACTCACAGCTGTAGGGGATGGAGGTGTGTTTTGAAAATGGGAAAATGATAATTCATAGTGTTCATATAAAAGAAAAAACAGTACACGAAGTGCGAATTACTGCCTTCAGTCATTATCTTTGCTAGTCATGCTGGTAGATGACTCAGAAAATAAGTGATATGGTACCTAATATGCCCAATATTTCACCTGAATGGACGCGTAACATACAGAATGCGAGGCACACAGTTTTACATGACAAACGGTCTGTAGACAGAGAATGGGGGAAATAAGGCTCCATACTTACAACGCTTTCTGTTGCGTAATAAGTTTCAGCGTAACGTTGTAGCTTTACTTTACACGATTGAAAAATTGTAATTAACGGTATTTTTTGTATGAGGGTCAATGAAGAAACGATTTAGAAACAAGCAATATTTATATGCGCAGTGTAACTTGTACACCAGGTAGTTTCTACAACATTTGCTTTCATAAAGCACAGCTGGGAAGAACATACGTTGCCTGCAAGAATGTATCAGTTTCATGAACAGCTCGAGCGTGTGTCACAAAAAGTATACATAGACAACTGAGATAAAAGTTAAGGGACACACTTAGCTCTGACACAGGACACTCACCCCCACCATTTTTGTAGCACAGGTAAGGGAACCTCCATACATTCCCCAGACCAATGGCGTACCCAACACATGATATTATAAAGTCCAGTTTTCCCGTCCAGTTCCCGCGGGAGGGCACGTCGTCGTCCACTGTGATGTCCCCCATGAAGTGATGCTCGTGGTGCTCGTGGTGTGGAGTCGTTCCATCCGCCGTCGGCGTCTGCGTACCATTTATCGGAGCGCCTTCCTTCTCTGCCGACTTGTCTGCATTTTTTGTTCCCATCATGCTGTGCCTTGGGAGGTATCCGATGTACTGAAAAAAACTTCAAAGCTGGCAGCTCCCAAGGTGATGAGTATCGCAATAACCTCAGCTGCCCTGGTGCTGGAGTCTCGCGCTAGGGCAAAGCACTCGCCAAAAGCGGGATTTAAAAAAGTGTTTATATACCTATCGCTGATGCCCTACACACACTATGGCGAACTGTACACTGTTTTTACAAAGGTTGCAATTTCTTTTACTATCACTCCCACGAGTTGGAGGTCTAATTAGAAAAATATTACCATCACCCAACAACTCCCACTAGTTTCAGAGTTAACCAGATGCCTTGATTGAAGCACTGGTTTCTTTCCCGGGTACATGCTCAGGAAATGATACTTCAGTGGTCCTTCACAAAGCACGCACAGCTACAGCAACTGACACATACTTATGCTGCGTCTATACTCAACAAGGACGTGGAGAGAGGGTGCCGAATTTTACCTAACAATTCTCATTGAAGTGGCGTTTTATCTATGAAGTTTCTATGGCATTTCTTTGAGCATACTTTTCAAGTCCACTTATATTTGAAATACCACTGTCATCAGCGTGGTTGACAAATAAACAACCTACAGAACGATAGGTTATTTTCTCAAAGAATTTAAAAGATATATATTAAGTTCGAATAGCGTAAACTTTCGTTCCACCCTATCTTTGTATTGGGCAGCAGGTCGCCCTAATCCGTTGAAAGCTGAGTGGTGTAACAGTCCAATACCAACCAAAATACAGCTAATCAGTAGAAGGATTTTCTCATCCTATTGATTTCTAGCGACAGATGATAGCAGCGGGATGCTGTTCTTCGTTTCTCTACACATGACACAGCGCGCGCGGTTCCCAGGCCGCCATAGGGGGAGGAACATGCTGAAAATCCTAAATGGAATGCTGCCCTTCACTGTGAGAGTTTAATCCATACAAAACCAATATAGGATCATTCAAATGGTTCATTCGGGTTTAATCAGATTTTATTTGGGTGAAGAGTTTGTTAAGATCTCACACAACACACGCGGCATGGAATAATTCATGTCCACTAGAAATGTTCATGTCAAATGCTGTGACAAATATGGCGAATTCAGAAAAAAGACTACGATACACACTTGTCTACATGGGGTGCTTTGGGACGAGTAAGTTTAGCTTGTTACAGAAAAACGAATGAGATTGCAGTAAAGTCGCTGCTTCTTTCAGTTTTCTATCTGCTCCATGACTAAAAATATCCCCAATCCACGAGATGGTCTGAGGGATATTTTGAATGGATTAAAACTAAAACATTATATAAAGATCATGAAAAGAAATTATACTGTACTGCAAGAAAAGGAAGATATGTATAAAGGTATGTATTGTATTAGATGTTGCTAGAAATCACTAGAATAAACCTCAGATAATAAAATTGGAAACTGTTTTGTTGCTCCGGAATCGAGTGGAAATAATTAAAATGATTATTTGTGGGCTACTCATGATCAAGTAAAGCATTTATTACAAGATTATAGACCAATGGCGTCTTGACTTTCCACTCAATTTCACAGGATGCTCACATGGCCTTGACTTCACTTCTGACTCCTAGTGGATACCTGGTTTATAAAACCCAGTTAGTAATATCTGAATATAAGGTTCAGTGCACGAGAATTTAACGTGAAAAGAGAAGACTTATATTCCTAGTGCACAACATTTTAGTGCTTACCGGGCATAACAAATTTCAGGAAACATAATGGATTTGTGTTTATAAAATCATTTTCCCGTCCTATCTTGAGCCGATTGAACTTTTAGATCAGTTTCATCTCGAGACCAAATGCTTATGTTAGACAAGATATGAAATTTTAATCATTCTAAGGACGTAGTAGGAGATTTCAACAAATGTCCCAGATTATCATAAAATGTAAAAAGAGTTTGGGCTATCTACAAAGAAATGGGGATTCTTAAAACAACGCAAACCACATTTCCCGATTTTGTAATGAAAAAAAATTGGACACGTATGTTACACAGCTTTGCCACAAACTTGATTTAAAGACCCGGAAACATGAAATGTCTTACAGATGAGGGAAAAACAGCTTAATTGGCTGTCAATTTTAAAGGACGCATTTTGACAGACCAAGGTATCCCCTTCTGCTAATGCACAATTAGTGAAATAAGTGTGAATGATAATTCTTACACCGTTTTCTTTGCTTGGAATTCAGGGGCGGTACTTTCTGAATTATTATTGTTAATCAGACATGCAAATCGCATGTTTCATTAACAACAGTGAATGACACAAACCTATATTGTTATCGCTGATTCTCAATATATAGATCCATTTAACATTTTTTAAATTTTTATTACAAGTAAGCGAACCGAAGAATTGTTTATCCTGGTGGAACTTTACTTACATCAGTTAAGCAACTTAAATCACTGAAAAGACAATTACTAGGTTTATCTGCTCTGTCAAAAANGAAGAGTTTGTTAAGATCTCACACAACACACGCGGCATGGAATAATTCATGTCCACTAGAAATGTTCATGTCAAATGCTGTGACAAATATGGCGAATTCAGAAAAAAGACTACGATACACACTTGTCTACATGGGGTGCTTTGGGACGAGTAAGTTTAGCTTGTTACAGAAAAACGAATGAGATTGCAGTAAAGTCGCTGCTTCTTTCAGTTTTCTATCTGCTCCATGACTAAAAATATCCCCAATCCACGAGATGGTCTGAGGGATATTTTGAATGGATTAAAACTAAAACATTATATAAAGATCATGAAAAGAAATTATACTGTACTGCAAGAAAAGGAAGATATGTATAAAGGTATGTATTGTATTAGATGTTGCTAGAAATCACTAGAATAAACCTCAGATAATAAAATTGGAAACTGTTTTGTTGCTCCGGAATCGAGTGGAAATAATTAAAATGATTATTTGTGGGCTACTCATGATCAAGTAAAGCATTTATTACAAGATTATAGACCAATGGCGTCTTGACTTTCCACTCAATTTCACAGGATGCTCACATGGCCTTGACTTCACTTCTGACTCCTAGTGGATACCTGGTTTATAAAACCCAGTTAGTAATATCTGAATATAAGGTTCAGTGCACGAGAATTTAACGTGAAAAGAGAAGACTTATATTCCTAGTGCACAACATTTTAGTGCTTACCGGGCATAACAAATTTCAGGAAACATAATGGATTTGTGTTTATAAAATCATTTTCCCGTCCTATCTTGAGCCGATTGAACTTTTAGATCAGTTTCATCTCGAGACCAAATGCTTATGTTAGACAAGATATGAAATTTTAATCATTCTAAGGACGTAGTAGGAGATTTCAACAAATGTCCCAGATTATCATAAAATGTAAAAAGAGTTTGGGCTATCTACAAAGAAATGGGGATTCTTAAAACAACGCAAACCACATTTCCCGATTTTGTAATGAAAAAAAATTGGACACGTATGTTACACAGCTTTGCCACAAACTTGATTTAAAGACCCGGAAACATGAAATGTCTTACAGATGAGGGAAAAACAGCTTAATTGGCTGTCAATTTTAAAGGACGCATTTTGACAGACCAAGGTATCCCCTTCTGCTAATGCACAATTAGTGAAATAAGTGTGAATGATAATTCTTACACCGTTTTCTTTGCTTGGAATTCAGGGGCGGTACTTTCTGAATTATTATTGTTAATCAGACATGCAAATCGCATGTTTCATTAACAACAGTGAATGACACAAACCTATATTGTTATCGCTGATTCTCAATATATAGATCCATTTAACATTTTTTAAATTTTTATTACAAGTAAGCGAACCGAAGAATTGTTTATCCTGGTGGAACTTTACTTACATCAGTTAAGCAACTTAAATCACTGAAAAGACAATTACTAGGTTTATCTGCTCTGTCAAAAAAAAAAATGGGACTAAACTTTAAAACTTTGTTACTGGCGCTTGCAGCATCATGTCACATTCACTAATCTATCTAGTTTATTGAAAATTTGCAACTTGACAGGAAGCGAGTATGATGCCGAACGTCTCAGAAAATATCTAGAATTTCCGGCTATTTTCGCGGTGTTAAAAAATTGAAAAAACCGCCTTAGTGTCTTTTGGCGCAGGTCATTATTTTTAGCTGTTTGATGTTCCTTGTAATAATAGCCATTAATAAAATCTCCAGTTCAGTTACATCCATGATAAGCTAGACGGTATGGTGGCAGGGCACAGTCAAATGTTTTACACGAAAAACGACAAAACTGCATTCTCATGAGAGTAATTTGCGAAACATTTGACAGTTGCCAGGCATTGTGAAAAACATACTTTACGTTGGGAACAACGTGTGCCAGTAAAATATAGGTGTATCTCATAATACCCCTTTAGTGCAGTGTAATTTTTTTTTATTATTATTATTCAAAAGGGCTGTTCATTTAAAAAAACCTTCGTTACTGAATGCCAAAACTCCCCATACTAACAAGGCATAAATTCTAAAATTTTCCATGATTTACACAAAAAAAGCTAAATTTATCACTTTCTGTCACCAGATCCTCAGAAAAAAAAAAGAATTCGCCAAACATCTGTAACTTCACTTTTCACTTTTCTGTTTTCGTCAATTAGACCCGTATACTGAGAATCAGTGTATAATTTTTTGGAGTTTACATCTATGAGTTCTGCTCGTCACTACCTTTCATTCAATAAATTTAATGAAGTCATAATCAAATCATTGTTTCTTGATTTAAGATCAAAACAATTTCTAAGATCCAAACAGCTGCAAAGGCGATGTCTACAAGCCATGTGAACAGTTTGCTGCTGTGGGCAGTGGCATTTAATGAAGATATTCGTATGTCTTTGCTTTTAGCATGACAAGCAGACGTCAGTTGTAATCAGTTGAAGTGGGACTTTGGCCACTGGTTATACCAATGTTGTATTAATGATTTCACAGTGCGTCAATAATCAATCAGAGACAGAACAGTAGATACCCACTACTCAGGGATGTACAGTCCTCAAAGAACGAAGCTGCAGGTCTTGTGACGATGTCGTCAATCCCGGAAGTTCCTATCAACTGGCACGAAGATCACTTAAATATTACATGTTGAACACAAGGCGCACGTCGAATTTGTTCTTTGTTAGAAGGTACGTACTCCAATAGGAACAACTCAATAAAATAGCAGAAACGTCCAAACTGTAATGACGTTTTATGACTGACTACGATGTTTATTTTGCCGTACATAATTGCATTGTTATTTTGGTGGCCGCAAATATGATACATCAGGTCTTCCTATCAAACCCAGCGCACGTTTGACCAACACTCTTCTTTTCAGGATAGTCTACATCATTTAGATGAATATCACCCTTGTGAAAGGAGGCCATACGTTAAATTTTACTGAACATTTTCATGGCGTTGACATTTGTAATGTTGTCAGAGCAGAAAGTTGGTTTTTTTGCTTATGTGTAAACAAGAAAATGCTTAACGCACAAATGAATGCAGAAACGCACAGTTATCTGTGCTAATTAAGTCTGTAAAGCTGATAAAGCAATGTAACGGGAGCCTTTGTCCGATTGATTTATAAAGAAACGCAATAGCCTCTTTGAAAGGATTTTTATATTGTAGCTAATGGTATTGACGGGCGTTCACATAACTAAATACAGATTTTGAGTGTGTTATGTCATAAGGCAAACATCTTTAACACTGAAGAGTTAATATTTTCACAAACATGAAATTATTGCGTGCATTATTTATTATCAGCTGGCAAACAAATGTGGTATTGTACTTTAGGGCTCAGCATTGGAATTAAACTCACTCTGAAATAGTTTGATTAACGCCATTGGTCGGTTATGATAATCAGGCTCCAACCCAACAGTGGCACACCTCAGCTTGCTTTTGCTCTATTCGCACACATTGTACACGAAAACCGAGGACGATCTTGCCCCAACTAACCACGTCAATAATAATGCGACAGAAATGGTTTGAAAACACTGCACAATGTGAATGTTCCCGTTCGAGGCAGGTGTTTCTCACGCAAACACCAACAGAGTCATTGGTTTGTGCCCTGCGGCACGCATGTACATGGATATGTCATTTCGTGATGAAATTAAACCCCAAATGGCCAATGTTAACACGGTACCTCATGCTCCTGGGTCGGTGCTCACTCTAGGAACATAGTGTACCTAGCGGCTTCGCGAATTGATTACATTAGCGCATTGCACTCTTTATGTGAATGATGTAAGAGCGTGACACCCCCCAACAAATAAAATGTAAAATAAAAGAATATAGTCACTTGGCAACGGTGAATTTTTTGAGCAAATAAACAACACCTTCCTTGCGTCCGGAATGTTACATGCATGATGTATCGGTCCCTTTATCACAGTTACACAACCTTCAATATGTGGGGTGATAAACTCTGTGTGTGTGTGTGTGTGTGTGTGTTTGTGTGTGTGTGTGTGTGTGTGTGTGTTTTCTCATTGGCACGCCAGAAAATTAGGCCCCAATATTAAAAAATGGATATGTGCGCTTGAATTGTTGCAGGGTTTCATCTCTACCTGCTCCTTCTTCAACAGATGTATATGTATTAAGACACTCGAATGTGAGTGTGTGAAATTAAGATAAACAGTCTTACTATACTCTTAGCTTTGGTGTTGATTTGACGAAAATAATGCTGTAAAAGATCAAAGTTCCATCCCTATGACCTGCAAAAATCCCCCAGGAATATCAACTTGTTATATATACACCCAAGACTTTTTGATAAAAAACAACAGTTTTTGAATAATTCAGAACGTAAATGTTTGCTGTTCAGAGATATGTTTCGTTGTCATCCTCATCCTAGTGTCCTGCACATTTGTCTTCTTCATTTGTATTGCTCGTATGGTTTGGCTGAAAGCTGCCCGTTTGTGTGCCTCCCAGCTAACTCGTGTCTGCAAACCTTGCTGTAACTCCTCATCGCCAGGGAAAGGGAAGATCTGAAAACATGATTGTGGTCGTTGTCTCAACTAATGCAGTCAGTGTTAACGGTCACAGGTAAAAGTGGTCAACAACATTTCTTTTTATCCAAAGATATTTGGAGACGGATATTTAACTGGAAACAGACTTCGAAAGCTGGACAATGGCAGAAAAACATAGTAGCTAACTTATCTGGGTAAATATCAAAAATAATTATTGTTGTTCATTTTGTAAACTGATCAGATGAAAGCAAAAATTACCTCTTCCCGCAATCTGTTCATTAAAGCTTGTGGTGCATGCTCAGAGAAGAACTTCTTTTCAATCATGATGCACTCGGCGCCATTACTGACCAGACTAAGGCTCGTCTGCTTCCCATAGATAAACTCAGTGAGGCCCTATCAACCGTAATGAGGTACAACAGTTAAATAAGTTATTGCTTACGTACGTACAATACGTATTTTTTATCTCTGTCATTAATCAAAGACTGATTGACAGTCAGACATTTATGCAGACCATGGAAATATATGCATGTACCTACTTCCATCTACAGACAGACAGACAGTCAGGCAGGCAGACAGACAAGCAGACATACAGACAGATGGAATTTAATTTAAGCAATGGGCTAAAAAGGTGACACGTACAAATACTGTGCCTTTGGTGAGAGTTTTCACTGTCACAAACATGGCTGGGTCTTCCTTATCCTTGGGCCTGGCGCCATAATCAGAGTGTGTATTTCGATGTTTGGGCAAAATCTCCGTAAACTTCACCTTTTTCATAGGTTGCTCACCATCAAAATCTATGATAAACAAAAACGATTAATTGTTTTATTTTTTCAGATGATCCTTATTTGAAGAGCGTCTTGCTCTTGTTATCGTTGACAAAAGATTGCACGCAATTAAAGCAATTTAAAGTGTCACCAAAAGTAGAACTTTTAAGCGATATGAAATTCGTCATTTTTTCCAAGAAAGCGTTATCTGCAATAAGGTGTCATGTACCTGTCTTCGCCTCGACATTTGCCTCATCCACCGCCTCTGCTTGCTCCGCTGCTTGGTCTGTCGTGTTCGGAGAGGAGGGGCCATTACGTGGTGGTTTGTTTATTTTAGTCAGAAAAGGCCCCTGAAAAATGGAAAGATGCCCTCATGTACACCCGTGACGTGATAAGTTCACACGAATCGTTGAACAAAATGTTAAGAAAATTAGAAAAAAGCACCATGTCTGATTGTACGTACGTAAAACAAGGCAGCAAAGCTGTCAAATGTACAGACAAAGAACAGAAAATAAAGATGCAAATAAGTGAAAAATTAAATTTTCACAAAAAAACTGTTAAATTGCCAGAAAAATTTACCAAACAAACTGCGTTGCCTATTGAAGCTGTATGTTAGACCCATGTTTCTTTCNAAAAAGCACAGGTTTTTTAAAAGCACAGTACACGTTGAGAAATATACTGTAAAAATCGGACTTTTCGCATTTCCAATTTCCATTAAAAATCCCATAACTTCACCCTTATCATTCATTAAAATGGATCCAATTGTGTTTACAGTGTAATGATGGTCATCTCTCTCCAAAATGAGATCCCATGCATAAACCCCTAAACCACGATTTATCACAGACACCACTCTTTACTTTAAACAAGACAAGCAAAACAAAAATTTTAATGAAAATAAAATTGAGAAGGTCACTTTATCTCATTTGTCACCAAATAATCAAATACCTACCTTTGGTAAAATTCTGTCCATTTTTTTAGACGCACTGCTGAGCGCGGGACTGCAACTGTCCGCATGTGACAGCGAGTCCCCTGTTAGTTGTCTGCCCGCTAGAGAGGCGTGTGACACATTTTCTACATCTAAAGTATCGTGACAGGGAGTGTCTAGTTGGGTGTTCACGGGGCGTTCTCCCCCAGGGGTGATATTGTGCTCAGCGGTAACGCTTGTGCCCCCAACTTTACCTTTGCTTATTTGTGGAGGCTGAAAACATGGCGGAACGTGCTGGCTACAGTGAATGACACACGCTTCTATATCTAAGAGTAAGGTGCTGCTAGACTATACATACTCTGGGGAAATGCGTTGGCTCTGAGTTTCATTGAGGAGAATTTAAATGATACACGAGTTGCATATGTGCAAGCGACACTACCGTCTCAACTACTGCATTGCTTTTGGTCGCAGGATAGAAACGCTACCCGAATGAAATAATATACCAACGCAATACCCCAATACATGTCAAGATATGTCGAAAGAAAAAATCTACTGTTAAAATCTAATCAATATTACGAGTGTCGTGGAATTAATGGTAATATTTACTGCATTGTACTGTATATGCGAGATCTGTACAGAAATATTATAAGGAGTGCAATAGGTGACGTGAAGATTGGTATAGTGTATTGAAAGTGAATATTTCCTACATTGTTCAGTATAAGTCAGATCTGTACAGAAAGAACTATAGTGGATGACGTTCAAAGGACCGTATTAGAATTTGCCTGGCATCCTTGACAAATTTCTGGTAACCAACCGATTGTCATTCTATATGCCACGCTCAGAAATGCCATAATGATACATGTAGGTCATTTTTTATTCATTTGGTTCAACCTTTTCGTGTTCTCAGTGCTTTATTCACTTGGCGTTTAATACAAAGTACGGTGGTATTAATCCCACTATTAAAAAAGAATGTAACATGTCTTGGCAATGAGAGCACGGGCTACCAACAAGTACAAAGAAAACAGTAAGATTTATGAGTACAAACAAACCCCGTATACGGCCCGTTAAACGTCCCACTATTATATTTTTTAATGTCGTACCGGTAACTGGGGAATTAGGCTGTTTTCCCGCACTACAGAAAGTTCAGACGGTCTCCGGTACGTGCTCAGCGTCCCTACGTTAATTTCTGGCTCGTCATATCTGTAAAACCCCCGTTGATTGGTCTGTGACGCAGTGACCTTGTCCACCTCATGCTGTAACCACGAATCCAGCAAATCCGTGTGGGGGATTCTAGGATTGATGTTCTGCTTTACTGGCATTAGATTTTCTGCTTTTGGAATTTTTACTAAAATATTAATGTGGCATATTATAGTACAAATAATTAAGCAGAATAGTTTTACAGTTTCAGAACTTAGCAGAACTACCACTAAACCTAAAACATTGCAATAAAACTCTAACATTCTCCAAAACAGAAATGGCACGTAGGCCTACGTTTAAAAGTCAACTTACAACCACAAGCAAATACCTGTATTCGCTAGTTTTAAGTTCGTTTACCTTTTGGTCTTCGAACTTTCAGTTTTGGTTGTGCTTTCTTCAACTTTTTAAGTACTTTGCAGCTTCCCTTAAAAATCAAGCCGAAACAATTAAAACGGTTCGGAAAATGACTGAATAACAAAACGAATGAGATATACATTACTGTAACAACAGCGATATGGTATATGCATGATAAATACATCCTTTCATAGCCTTCTTGCCAATGTGGCACTCAACATGACTCTGTACGGGTGGTGGTCTTATGATCCCCCCCGCCCCCACCACCACGAACTCATCCACAATCGTACACCACGAACATTATATTATGATTCATGAAAACGAGCGGCCAAGCAAGGTTTTACCGTTTTTACGATGTAAAGCCAGTCAGACGAGCTGCTATCCTTGACGAGTACCATACCGCGCCTAAAATATAGAATATCTTTGTGTGTGACCTTAATATGTTAACAATATTTCCAAATGTTACATTACAGGTACGTGCATGTATTAAGGGTATACACATCCATGCATCATTCATATACAAATTCTAAATTATACACATCAATACAGTAAGATTACTTTGGAAATCAGAAGCACTACATGTAGCATATCAAAGCATCTGCATTTTATTAAATTTTACCTACTTAAAAAACCTGAGAACAGCTTTTTTGGGGTTGTTGGCAAGCAAGTGAAGGGGCCACCCTTGCAGACAGCTGACACTTCTATAAAAAAACATAAATTGCATATTTTTCGGGGCAGGTAAAATTGATAATTCAGTTTTATCCGTGTATGATTATCAAAGAATAATTTGTTTCCAAAGTGCATACAAGAATAGTATCCAATTATTTTAAAACGAACTTAAATATTTAACTTATATAACTTATTAGGTGTACAAGATTAAAAACAAGCTTCAAAAACTTACTGGAAGAATGGATCGTTTACATCCTTCAAACCTCCGGACTGGAAAATCTCAACAAAATCCTAGAAAAAAAGATTATATATCTATAATAATGATAGCTATTCCTAAATATGCAAGCGTAATAAAATGAGTCGGTTATTTGGATCTGCAGCAACACGATATGGCAAATCAAAAAAAAAAAAAAAAAAAAAAAAAAAAAAAAAAGATGGCGAAATACTAACCTTAGCAGACATACACATGAGTTCAGTTGTTTCCATAGCAATGATCGTGCAGTCACGTGGTCTCTGTTCGATAATGTCCTGATCTCCGAAACTTTCCCCTCTCGAAAGGAAAGCCAATGTTCTGGATTGCTTTCTCTCATCGTCCATTACTTTTTTAACAACTGAAAATAGTCGTTTGATGCAGTGAGTGTGGAATACCGGGGAGTAAGTCAAGCTGGGCGAAACATTCATTAGTTCTGCGTTTCCATTTATGGAAATAAAAATAGGAATCTAGATTAAAGGTGTCAATTTCAAACCCGTGTCTTCTACCCCTGTATGCGTGCTTTTTGTTTGTGCGTTTTTGTGTGAGAGAATGATAGAGACAGAGAGATAGAGAGAGATTACTTAAAAACCTACCAGTGCCAGACAGGATGAAGTAAAAATACAGTGGTCTCTGTCCCTCCCTGACGATAACTCGCTCTACGTCAATCCTATCGCAAAATGTAGAAACCAAGGATACAGATTAATCATAAATATATAATGTTATGTAATGTATCTTATGCTTACTAATAACAAAATTGTCAGATGAGTTTAATACCTCTGCTTATATCTACTTTATCTGCTAATTGACACAAATATTACTCAGAGTAAACCCACCGTTTTTAATCAAGACATTTACAGCATTCCATATCAAAATTGAATTCGACCACCCCCGTGGACTCATCAAGTGACTTACGTGTCGTACCACGCCTTCCTCACTATCATTTCCTGCATTTGCACCGGGAACTCGGAGATGGAGGGATAGTTCATTAATGCCACCTTTACCTGGTAAAAATCAATACGTACAGATCATTATTTCTATTATTGAATTGAATGAATAATAGGTTAAACAGCCAAAATCTGAGATGTACTGACAGTGTACTGACAGTGTATATTTACCTTGGGACCCTTTTTCCTTTATTTTCATACAACTTTACAAAAAATAGATATCGCCGTATACAGAACCGTTCTGTTTGTTACACTGGATAAGAAAATGACTGTTCTTCATTTTTTGTTCCTTTTTTTGTTTTGTTTTACGTCAGTGTATCAAGAGACCTACTGATTTTTTCAGCCAACATTATCAACAGCTAACAGTCCCTGATGAAAGGCACAAAAATGACCTCATATGTTAAAAATGTTTTCATTGATTTGATTTCCTGCATGCTTTATACACCACGCTAGAAAACATCACGTCCATTTATTCGAAAAAAAATGTAAAATGTTGACTGTGGGGTGTGATGAAATCTCTGAATACTTATGCTTCCTTAAATAGTTATGAGATCCGTTTATTTCTAGTTAAATCTGAAATTCACGATAACGTGTACCTACATTGTGCAATTCTTCCTCAGTCCGCTGAACAGGTCTTTTTCTGAGAATACGAATCGTTTCACCAGATAGACGCATCTACAGATATCAAAATGGAATAGAAACCGTTGCATATTAAAATAATTTTCTTTACTTTAAACAGTATCTTTCAATTACCTGTAATACTTTAAAAGAATCTTACGTAGAATGCCCCAAAGTCAGCAGTTTTTGAAACACTGGGATTCATTTTATCAGTATACTACTGCTCTCTTAATACATGTATATATACACAAAAATACTACACTAGGCACAACATGAAAGCACACATTGAAACACAGAAACGCAGAGATTATATGCAATTAGAAATACTTTGAAAATACGTCATACGTCGTATCAGAATTGAACGGTCGACTATTATTATTATAATCATTATTATTTTGCGGCAAGAACAACGTGAAAACAACACCAAAAGTGCTCAAAAAGTTTAACACTGAGCGACACCGGGTATCGGAGGATACACTGTGTACTTCTTGGATCATTAACTAGGTAGGTGAAATACTATTACCTCTTTATTTGCCTTGAAAATACTTTTATCGAATAAGAGATCCACGTCTCTAGCATTGCTCCCCGTGGAAGTAGTAAGGGCCTGGACAGTGGTTCGTATCTTGAAGGAGTGCAGACGCCACACTCTGAAGAAGATAACGACGAAGCGGGCAAGGCGACGGAAACTGCGTGGCGGCTTTGGAGAGGGCTGTAAAATGCATATACATATATATGTGAAGTTAAACAATACCAATTATAATTGAGCCTAAATTAGTGTGCGCGTGTGTCAGAGAGAGAGAGAGGGAGTGACAAAGAGGCAGATAGAGATGGTAATATATATATATATATATATATATATATATATATATATATATATATATATATGTGTGTGTGTGTGACATGTAAATTATTTACACGAGGATTCATACAACTCCCTGATTATATTTACCAGTAGCTGTGTGCATGTGTGCCTCTTTTAGTCAACGTTTACATGTGTGTGATTGAAAGTATCCTGGCGTACGATATTACAATTTGGTATATCGGGACTACTGGGGAGGAAAGGAAAAAACTAACCAATGTTGTACAAGATCTCCTCAAGCTGGATGATATTTTTAAAGACAGAATAGAAAAAAGCACTATTAACATCATGTGAAATGAGTCACTGATATATCGACACTCTGCCGATTTTCCTTGCGATCAAGAAACAATCTTTGCTTTGTGTAACAAGACTAAACCCATCTTCAATTAATAAGTATGAAATTAGCTTAACAACTAATTCTAGCATAAATTGAACAAAGAAATTTATACTCTGCTAGCATTACTGGCATTCCCCCTACAGTGTACAGATACTGGTACATGTAGGTTGGTAATATAATAGATCGATTTTTCTTTACCCCGTTTATCAGATGTAGACCCCCGGTATATACATGTATCAATTTAATGATTCAATTTATAATTATGTTTAAACGCATGGGCCAATATAATATCTGACAACGATAATTCCCACATGAATGCCCGTGTTTGTTTTGACTTACGTCAAATAAAGGTACATGAATAGCGTAAATAGTGTTCACATGAAGGCTTGGGAAGTGTTTCTGGAGCCCAAAACAACGAATGTCGCCAGCCTCACTACCACAGAGTAGGGCTCAAAATATCTGACACTCAGTAAAAACTTATACATGTGGGATTACTTTACAAGGTATTCAGTAAGGGGGGAAGTGGTCGATATATCCCCTTATTTAGTTAATGGTAAGCGGTGATGAAATAGACAAGCTTGAAGACAACACACACACACAAAGAGAGAGAGAGAGAGAGAAAGAGAGTTAACTATCCGCGTGTCTTCCCCGACAACTACATATGCTATAATTATTGAAGAAAATCTGTAAATCACCTGACACTTTTTACGTCAATTAATTAATGTACAAGCCAAAACGTGAAAGAGAGAGAGTATGTAGAACGATATGACATGGTCACCTCTCATGTACTGCTTTCTTACATACTAGAGATACACGGCAACGGCGGAAGTTAAATGTTGTTTTGTCACCCCATTCTGAGCCCTTCATTCTGAGCCAATATTTGCTCTGCTGATACCGACCCCCATCAAATGTTATTACTTTGATACTCCTAAACCCTGATTGATAGTATATGGATTTATACAGATAATCACGCCAGGCTGGAGCGTAACAGTGCTACACTTCATCAGGACCCACAAAAAGGTCATGTCATTATTATAAGAACTGTTATTGCACATTCTTTAGCTAGGCACAATAAGACTATTTAACATGGGAATCTTTTTGTTGTTTTATATAAAACAATCTGATAGAATGATCTTCAGGACCTTAAGGTCACTTTCTCTGTTGATAAGTATTAACATTGACTCAGGATTTAATAAGAACGCAACAGTGATGATAAAAAGACATTTTCAGACACTATCTTACCTTAGCAGCTGAAAGTCCCAGTTTTTTCAGCGTCAATTTTCTTTTCAGCACTCCCGCCATTTTGAGCATGCCTAATCCAGCGTTATCGGAGGGGCTGCCGTCAGAGGCTAGCTCAGATTCTGAGCTGGTGCTACTGCCCATTTGCTTCAATCGGGACAACTTTTGAACGAACTGTTTTCTTTTGCTAACCACATCATCATTCATGCTAATGGCGTTTTCCTGCCGAGAGGTGATCGAAGCTGATAAACTATTGACTAACAACCGCTGCCTGCTATTTTGTCGCGAAGCACAAGCACCCATTTTCTGCAGAGTTTCTTTCATATCTTTCGTCCTCTTAGAGATATAACAGGTCGCCGGTTTCATTTCTACAATTTTGTGCAGATTGCTTGGAAACGAACGCCTGGTGGATAGAGATTTGGTGCCTTCTTCCACATTATTTTTTCCTTTGATCTGGCGAAAATCTGCCACTGATTTATGAACTCTTAAATTACCCATTTTACCTTGACTACGATGCATTTTCCCTATCTCTCTAGTGGACTTGTATTTCGTCCATAAATCTTCCTTCAGTGTTCGTAGCATACTGTCCCGTCTTGTCGTGGGTAGGCTTGGGTTTTCGCTGTCGTATGTCATTCTGTGAACGTTGACAGCTGGTTTTATTGGAGTTATCTGCCCCACATTCATTTTTATTCTTCAATTTGTAGAAAAATTACTAAAAATGACTAGTAACTTCACCAGTCAATCAGACTGAAGAAACGGATCGATCGTACGAGTATGCATATGGTGGTCATATTTCTTTGGTCGTGTCAAATCTTCAATATATCTTAAACACCTTTGACTCTATGGTGATCCTTTGACGTTTTTATTCTATTAATACGACCTTCCATTCAGGCCAAATGAACCACGTTCATGCTATCACGATTCTATTCCTAGCGATGTGTAACACCGATATCCACCAGCTCCTGTATATTTAGGTCGATGACGAGTGATGAACACCAAGGGAGACTGGTTTATTTTGGAAACTGCCGAGATGGCTTGGACGCCAGCGTGCACATGTACAACCCCAGGCTGATGTCTGCAGCAGCTGATACCACGATGCACAGTCAGTTATCTCTATATTACAACGTTTTGCGAAATTTTGCGGGTCCTCACGACTCGGTCGGTGTCTATTTCGCAACTTTGTGTACCCGCAGATAATACGTGAGGTCGTTAGAATATTCCCGTGATGCCTTGCACTGCGTCTGATGTACGAGTCCCCAGCCTGCAATTTGGAAAAACAATAAAGTAGTAAAGTGCCGAGTCAAAACAAACTGAAATAATGATTTTGCCATTCGCAGATACCTTGCTGGCCACTCAGCCACTGCGCCACGGACCAAAGTGTGCTGCTATTTCGCAGTACGGAATAAGAAGATGACAAGAACACCCCCCCCCCCCCCATACACACACACACACACACACACACACACACACACACACTTTCAGCTACAGATAAATACTGAGGCTCCGTACTTTTTGAGGCCAAGTGTTGAAGATATGGGAATACCTTCTCAGAATTATTTCTACCCTGGAAGTGCAGCAATGTGGACAGTTCATGTACGTTAAAAAGATTAAAACCAACTGCTGTAGCAACAATGTCGGTAACACATGATCAGAGTGATGTGATGGAAATAGGCTGCTGTTAAAAGTCATGTTTTTGATATTGTCTACATTTATTGTAAGAACAGGATGTAGTGTATACTAGAATTTACCGCGACTAATCGTAAACTGCATGCCGTAAGCCTCATCGTTTCTCTTCATTAAAACCAGGCACCTTTCAAAACGGTGTTTAAAAATATCTCAATGTCGAAATAATATTTTGTCGCTTTTAAAAGGTATTTTTGCTCTGTAGGTCCACTAGTTTAGTCCGACAGGCAGGTCATAGTAAAAATACTCTTGGCACCTAAAATATGTTCAATCCAGCTTGTGATTTTACTAATAGATATAAAGCAGCAATGAAAATATAACCTGCGGTACCGGTAGTAGCTGGGCCTAATGCTTCACTAAAATGGAGTAAAGATGCCTGTACGCCTGTATGCGTGCTTCCGATTTTACATGCATATCAAAGATCTAAGTATACTTATTGCTGATATTTATCAACATCCCAAGTCAGCTATTGTTCTCAGACCTCTGGCAGATAACTTAGTGTGAGAAGCAGCCGCAACATGTATGGGACATTGCCATTATTCACTCCTGTTCGAGTATATTTGTGCAGTGCCTATGTACTAACGATATATTCTCCAACCAATGTACTAAAACTACAATAACAATTTACAAACAGATTCTCACAATACAGGCCCGTAGCCAGGGGGGTGTCGGGGGGGGGGGGGGTTCGAAAGAACACCCCTTTTTGCTGGGAAAAGGTCCCCTCTGGGTAAAAATTTATCTAGGCACATGAAGGTTTCATGGTAAAAGGTCCACTTCTTCAGAAAAAGAGCACCCCTTTTGAAATTGCTGGCTACGGGCCTGCACAAGGATTGCTTTCAAACATCATCATCATTGTGGTATTTAATGGTATGATATAGTTATTAGGTATACACAGACTCTCACAAAATCGCATGTTGTTGTTTTTGGGGAGGTCGACGAACTCATTAGGTCCTAGCCAGCCTTGTTATGGACAGAGCAACTGCTGCCCCGAACGACTACCGTAGTTGCAGATGATATAGGCCTACTATAAATACATGTCCTGTGCACATTCAGTCTCTGCGACGGAAAATACTTGTCTATTTTCCAGATAGAGAAATACGTCAATAGAGCATGCATTTATCTCATTTCACCCACCTATTATTATTATTATTATTATCATCATCATTATTATTTCGCTTAAATTTGACAAAAGAGAAAATAATCGTGTAGTGAGATTAGCGAAATGTAGCCTCGATAACTTAGTAAAACGTTATCATGTTATACTTACTGAACACAGTTACGCTAGATCATGACACATGGAACGCTTGCTACATAGAAATACAAACTATACTACACAGTCATCTTTCCATACTGATTGAAGTGTTTTAAAACTGCATTTTTATCCATATTTCCTTAGCCATCGCCGACCATGCACACCCCTTCGGCTCCTTTGACAACAGCAACAAGTATAAGCATTAGGGGGTTGTTCTCAGATGATCAATTGACTTTCCGTGCCCCAACGAATGTTATTCTGTACGCGAACAATTGACAGCTCTCCCCAGCGAAGTACTGGAAATCAATGGTGTTCGATAGTCGTATCTAAGGCCCGTATCCTGGGGTCAGTAGGTAAAAGGGAATACATCGATGGAAAACAGACAAGATGTGAGCTGTTTATGAAGCAAAGAAGCATCTGATGTACATGTATACCACCGATTTATTATGTGACTAAATAATTTCCTTTATGCTGAAATGTATGTCCTCTTCGTTTAAACTTCATAATATTTTTTACACATGTATTTAATTATATGTTTATAAATAAATTATATGTTCATGTGCACACAAGTTAAATATTCATGAAGAAAGAGTGATAGCTTTTCTTTTTGAGTTCTAAAATAAACCTTATTTCCCTGCAGCGTTTCATTTTCATCAATAATTTGTGAAGGAACGGGACGGGCATCTAGATCTGAAAAAGAGATGTAAACGGGTATCGGGGGCAACACAGGTGCATTGAGGTGTATCTATTGTACTCCAGTTTTGCCTTACACAGTTCAGCTTTAAACAAACACCCCCAGCCCTCGCTCTATTAAATATTTTTCTTGACTTCTATTTAACTTGAGGGCAGTTGCATTAAGATTATTTTAGAGTACTCTTAAAAGAAGAGATTGGGAGTAAAGATTAAGTAGCGGAGGAGAGTTGATCCCAAAAAGACATAAGAAAGTTGTTTCCTGTATTACGGGGTTTTTAGTCGGAAGTTCAAAATCTCTTTCCGTGGTTCCTCGAGTTGTGATTGTCGAATTGTTTTTGAAAGGAAGATAGATATCCGAAACATAGGATGGGACCTTGTTACCCATTATAGAAAAAAATAATGAAGAAAAGTGTTTTAAAAGAAAGGAATTAAAATAGATACGACCCAAGGGCATCGTTTTCACGATGAACTAGAAAATGACTTTAAACGCTTTTTACTAAAGTTACCTGGTCCAAATTATTCAGAATGTAACTCAGCGTTACCTGAAACTAAATCATCAGAATTTGTAATGGCTTTGCTCTTCATATTTCACACAACAAAAGCAGTCGCTCTGAATACTGCGCATTAAAATGTCTTTTATTTGGTAGATACTTGATATGGGAGTTGGTTGCTATTTTTAATCCACTGTGTTGTATTAGTAATGTGACAGCAGTGTTGGAGCTGTCTGGGGGTAGAGCCTAGGTTATTAGGGCACACCCCAATTTCAACAGTTTTACGTTATGTAATTAACACTAATGGATATTGTTGGCATCGGTCACATAGAGGCGTAGGTAGAACCTACAGACACAAGTACTAAATCTACATTAATGCTGAGATTAGCACTTATCCATTCACACACAATTTCTGGCAAGAGAAAAAAATCAACACAGACGCGTGAAATATTTTATAAAACTCAGGTGTATTCCTAAAGGTCACGATGCGGGACAATTACCTAAAATTTTGCCTTTTTGATAAAGTTTACAACTTAATCGCGGTTTTCTATTCACATTTTCGCTTACATTCTCAAGTGGCAGCTGTAAACTTCGCAATACACCAAGCCATTATTTTTTTATTTTAAAACACTTTAGAAAGATTGATACGTCGCTGTCTATATTATATTATCCTACTGTCAAAACGTGTTTGTCACATAGTGAACAAATGCACTTCAATTTATGACCAGCATCATTTGGTCATCAGCACTTACGTGAACATGCATATGTAGTTGTAGGCATCATCTGTATGGTACGACTGATGTAAGATAGCCAGAATGTTACACCAGTTACTTATATACACGTAGAAGATGACTCCTCTGTATTTCTCACTCAAGTCACAACAAACTTCAGCGTAAAAAAAACTTGTTGGTAAGTTTCACGAGTACCACCCAACATACATTTAACTGTTCCTGTTCCACGTTTAACTCACGATGATACGTCTCTGCGAACTTTTAATTTAAAACAAGTATTGAAAATTGAGAGAGAGCTGTCAAAGCCCGCGAAGTACACCTCTTTTCAGCTGATGTGAACTTATGTTCAGGTCAGTCCCATTCATAGTTATCTTAATCAAAACAGACACATTACGTAAGACGCAAAGTGCGCTGAGGGAGGCACTGTACTGCATTGTATTGATAAACAACGCTGCGTGGGTAAAATTGAAGATAACGATCGAGATGCCTGCAATTTCGGATGTTTTAGGTTTTTTGATTTTCTGTTAAGAATGCCACCAGAAGTTGGACAATAGAGTGGGTTAAATATCACCATATAATTATCCGAAATTCAGACAATAAAGGATGCACTGTACATGTATTTGTTGAGAATGAAGTTCTATGATAATGTGCTGATCAATACATCTTAGTTATATTCCAGATGGTCCCAAGACCTTTCTGAACTGCCAATAAGTAACAGGGTAACTTAAGGAAAAGCTTAAAAATAGCGTGCAGAAGTATTTTCTTCCTCATTGAGTGTTTAATGCAGCCAGGGTGCATGACGGCACAACAGACGGGCATATTGCTACACAAAACACAAAACATTAGCGGCACCTTAAAGCACCTAGTCACCGTAATATAAAAGATTTACTCACAGATATGTCAATTTGAAATAAACATTTCGCAGTAATGGTTTCGCTTTTAGATGTATTGTTCTAAATAAGGCTAAGTGTATCCACAGTATATCAACAGGCAAGCAGTAAGTCAGCAATATATCCTTGCTGGGTCGGACATTTTACAACTTATCAGACAAATGAATTTTTGTATAAGCCTCCAAAAAGTGACAAGTCTTACTATCGGCTCTATGCAGTTTTAAAATATAAAAAATGAGAGAGAGAGAGAGAGAGAGAGAGAGAGAGACCTTACCGGTACTTTATGTTGATAACATCGTTGACGAAGGTTCTTAGTTGTGGTTTTTACGTCTGGCCTCCACTGGAGTGGTGGTCGAGATTGGATAGCTGAGCGGTATCATACCAGGCACCATAGTGACCCATAAAGAACTGTATTGTAACTGTTTCTATTTCCGCTCACAACATGGACAACCTCGGAGTTGAGCAGACAGAGGGCGCAGCCGCCGCCTGATTAGCCGCTACTAATGCCGCAATGTTGCGAT